TCATTCAGAACATGTTTTGACACATAGTGTCATCATCAGCTGTGGTACTTGTAAAGTTTTGTTTTCACCAGATGGCTTTGTCATTGTTCAATAAATTAACACATAACACGAAAACGACACAACACGTACATATAAACATTTAAAACACGTATAACTTAGCGACATTGCAGGCCTGCTTTAACAAACATACAATCACGCCACGGGTCGAGGACAGAAACCCCTGCCCTTGAGGACAGAGACCCTTGAGGAGTATGTCTTGACCCGCGGTGTGAATGTTAATGCGTTTTCGTGTTATGTGTTAATTTATTGAACAATGACAAAGCCATCTGGTGAAAACAAAACTTTACCAGTACCACAGCTGATGATGACACTACGTGTCAAAACATGTTTTGAATGAGACTCACCATCCAGTATTGAGCTATTTTGACATAAGTAATTTAATCTTACAATAACATGACATTGTAATCATCATTTTCTAAAGTATTAAGCAAAAGTAGTAACATTTTATAAATAAATTTTAGCCAAATCCAACAAGCCAATTTAAACTAAGTACAGTTATTGAGAAAATAGTACTTATAACTCGGAATGAAAGCACATTTTTATGGTGATCATACCTTTTTTAAAATGGTAGATTTTTCTTAAATGATCAAACTCCGATCAAGAAGACGGACTTCATATTGCAGCCATTTTGTTATTCAATCATGGGAGCTTTGCTTTTCTAAACTTGACTGTTACGTGACTGTTTAGTGTTTAGATGTCTCTGTTTGTCAAAGCCAAAGTTAAATGTAAACAACTCTAGCCTACATGGGACAGACGCAATATTGGAATTACTGAATAAACATAACTAAAACTAAACTACTGGACATACTTAAGCCTTGATTTGGACCAGTAGTATAATTAATCTGATCATGTCGTGTGGTTTTCCTTGTTGTCTATGACAAGTTTGTGCAGTACAAAAAAAAAAATCTAGATTCATAAAGCTTGAAATGAAATAGTGACCACTTAATCTATAAAAACCATAATATCAATTTTCATAGAATGAAATCTGAAATAATTAATACTAGAAAAACCTAGGGGGATTAGTCTGAGTTTTATTCTTTGCATACAACTTGTAGCACTAACCAAATAATCTTCCATGAACGATCTTTTTATTGAGTTTTTTTAACCTTATTAAAAATGTATTTTCCTTAAACTAGAATGGGTATTTCCCATAAACAACTAACCTGTTGATCTGATGGCACATTGGAGGGCTATTTAGATGTACACTAGACAGCCAATAAACCACTGTGGTCAAGTAGGAAAAAGGTTTTTTAACTAAAAAGTTGGCATTGGTTAGATTAGTGAGCGGTTTCCAAATGTTGCGTCTCCAAAAAATCAAGATGTTTACTCATCTGGGTTTAAATGTAAACGGATTTATTATTTTCAAGTTCAGGCATACCATTGGTAGATAGGCCCAACCATAAGTGTTTGTAACGCTAATACAGCCACCAAAGGAAAGGAACCTTTCATTAGTTTGAACCTTTTGTTGACAAGAGTGCTGTGGTTATAGTAGGTGTTAAGTATTCTGCATTCAATGTTAGCGTTTTTTGAGTGCTTGCCAATGTGCGGTAGATGACTGATCAGCATCAACACACAAGATCTTCTGATCAAATAGGTGTCATTGGTTATTTACTCCACATTTGCAAGTAAAGACGGATTTCTTATAGGCATTGAACGTTTTGATTTGATTCAGATGCATAAAAACATCTGTGCAATAAGTTCAATAAAATTGTAGATAAAAAAATAAGTGGTGTCTGTAGAGGACGGTTATGTATTGGTATCCATATCAATAGTTCAAGCTTTAAAAAAATCAAACATTCTTATTTCATAAAGTTAAGGAAAAGGGTCTAAGGGTTAAGAGGGGGTCTTTATTACTACAACTGGATCATATGCTGTAGTGCCCAGAACTAGTCTTTTATCAGTCCAACCACCTAAGTATGAACCATACATACTGCCATACACTTCCTACGTGGCTGCCATGTTTTCATTCATAAAAACTGACGTATCTTGATTGAACTATTGATACTTGCTTGATTCAAATGAGGGTTCATTGTTGTAAGCCTCATGAAAGTACGGAGATTTTGATATAGTTTTACGTCATTATAAATACCATTGTAATATTGCTTACAAAAAGATTATTTAGATACAAAATCTATTCTATAATTTTTGCAGTTTAATTTAGATTACAGCTGAAACTAAGATATAACGTATTTTGTGAGCGGGAGCATGACAGAGGTAATGTGTTACAAGAGGGTGTCAGTTCACCTGTAAGTGCCCGGAAGGTAAACCCCAGCACTGAGTGTGCGTCCCACCCCCCACCCCCCCTAGTTAACCATCAAGATGTCTCGAGACATCAAACCCGGGTCAGTGCTTGCAGAAAGTAAAATATTGATAAGGCCTGACATTACTACAATTCACTTTCCACTATCATTCAGTGCCATATTTACCAATAGGCACACACCTTTAGAGCGCAATATCGGGATCAAAATGTAGCAGGTCGAATAAACGGTGATTGTTAAAATAAACATTGGAATTGTGGCCAAAGTATTTATTAGGTATTTCTGTAGAGCTAAATACTGATTATGATAATACTATTGCACCTCAATGAGACATGCTTTCACCCCCTTCAAATAACATTATTTATCTACTGTATTGAGCCCTTCAGACACAGAAAACGCTAGTCTCTTTAAAAAAATACTGCTTATCTGAAGAAAATCTTTAACTATTAGAAAAATGTATTAAATTCACTACATCATAAACAGTTTCGATTGCTTGAAAACAATCATGAACATCGACCAAAGTGCCTCGTGAAACCACAATCAAAGCCATTTGCAAATTGTGAATACCAGACAGCTCAGTCGGTAGCGTCACCGACTTTGGGCCCAAGGCAGCGATGTCGTGGGTTCCGATCCTGATCACTGCCGAAAACATTTTATCAGTACAGTTCACCTTTGTACTGTACCGGCTCACCCCTTGCTTTGCTGGATACGTTCCACGCACAGGCAGTTGTCTATGTGGACGGGTAAATGCAAGGTTAAAAGAGAACACCAACTTCTTTAAAAAAAAGTTAACTTAAAAATATCAAATAATTTTGAATTTCAATTGTTTACGATGTCCAATTGGCATTACCTACTCTTAGAAAACAGCCCATGACCTTTAACAAGAATCTTAAGGTATATATGTAAAATTTACAGTTTAAGGCTTAATCCCTCCTAAAATATTCCCAGCCAAACTAAATAATAATAAATTAAGGAGTTCTTCACTTAGATGTTTTTCTGTAAATAAACCAAAGCTTTTAATTACCCTGTTTCGTAAAAAAATCACTTAAAAAAAATACTTGTTATAATAAGGACATGCTATGGCACTCCCTGTTATTAGCAGAGTGTTTTCCATTCTGCCACTTCTGCACCTTCTAGTATAGTTTTAGGGCTTGACACTGCTACTGGCATTACACAATAGGTTGGAATTCGTACTACGTTTTCCAACTAAATACAGATTGCCTTTCTAAATCCTTGGTACTGGTAACCAATTTGGTGTAAAACAATGGTGTTTAATTTTATAGGTCAAGCGATTTAAAATAGCATACATTATTTAAGACATTATTGCCTGATACAAGTGTAAGAATATTCAATTATTATATGCTACATCAGATACAGCAAACCTGTATATTTGTTTTTATAAAAAAATTCCATTAAAATGCGACTTTTGGTTTTAAATCAACACACACAAGCAATTTTTACAACTTACAAACATAATACGATTGTTGCAATTTCAACCGTATTAAACATTGGTTGATATCCAACTTAGTAGTTGGCCATAGAAAAAATCATAGTATGCTCATGAATCTTATGCAGTTTGAAGAGTGTGTAGATCCATGTCTACTACCTTGAAAAATCTTGAGGGAGGGAATTACAATGTTTATATAATGCTGATTGAACTCTGAACTCAATATACATCCTCCGAATCCTTGTGGGCACCAGTGTTTGTACCATCAAACCAACTCAACTTCAACAGATAAGATTGGAGTAATCACATTATTTAATGTGGGGAAGGCCGATAAGAGGTTTTTGCCATTCACAAAGTAAGAGTTGACATTATTTGGTCGTAGGAGGTGTCTATGCACTCAAACAGCTTCAATTTAAAATTTATTTGGCATCAGTCCAGTTAACATCTCTGGCAGTTGGCAGTTTGTTGTCAACTACTCCATCGGTTTAGTATAGGAAAGAGGAGGTACATTGGATTAGGATAGGGGAGGTATAAATCACTTTGTCTAACGATAACCAAACCATCATACCAGAATACTGGTTTTAAAGAGAGGACAAATACTCAGTTTCACAACCTTTGAAGATGTGATATTTGCTTGTAAGAACAATTTAAGCAAAATTCTTCCAAGGATTCCCTATATGTACTTGACAAACCTAAGCTCATCTGAAGAAGGCGGGTTTCCGTCGCAATATTCAAGAAACAACGTGCTTGCTTTTTCCGCTATCTACTGTAATAAATGTTTTGTAATACAATTGTACATGGATTCGATGACGTTCAAAGGTAACCTGTACAATCAGTGTTGTAATACGTATGAAGAAAAATTCTTCTTGAGGTACAGTATATTATTATTTTTACAGGTAAAAACATTTTTTGATCATTATTTTCAATGCATGTTGCCCTAATTCTTTGCTATGCTTTAAACATTAAGTTGGTAATTTAATAAGTGTGATTATTTTGTTGCTTGATATACCTTGTAAAAATTGTAAAGCAGAGAAAGTTCTACCCCCTCCCCCCCTTGTCATAATTATTAACTTGTGAACGTGTTACAATGTTTCAGGAACACTGGAGTCTTACACATGGAGTGATCAACTGACTCTTAATTATTTGGGTTTCAGATATCGAGTTCTATATACAGGATTCTTTTTAGAAAAGTTACGTTTTTGAATTTGTATACTAAACGCTCTTGTTTTCTGCAGCCATGTTCCTACAAGAAAGCGACGTCTTCATGGACGCTATGCTGGAAGCCAATAAAATGAAGGAGCCTCGAAAGCGCAAGAGAAAAGGCAGTGTTAGCAGGGAAGGCCCGTCAGATCCCAAAAAGGACGCCCAAGATCATAAGAGCAGCCCCTCTAACTCTCCTAAGTCTGAAGACAGTCCTTCTTCTCTCAAACCTACTTTTAAGGTATTTTATCATCCTAACTATTCTGTTTCTAATTTCAATTTTTATCTACTTCTCACAAACATCCTCATTGTTCATCACCTTTTCCAATCTGTTTGGTAGAACCACTCATATTAGACAGGCATCGCCTCTTATTTTGAGATCCTCTCTTTTATCCAGAAACTTCTCAGGATTAGAAATATAAATGAATTTCTGATGACTCGAGATGGGAAGTTGGTACAAGCACTTTTTACATTCCATATTCTGTTTCCAGTGTAGAACACAACATTCATAATAGTTATCATCTGTTGTTATACTGTCCAAACTAATGAACTGAATCAGGTTTTCAGGCAGCAAACAGGCCACCAACTGACTTTGGTAGTGTATAGTGGTTTTACTTTCATACTTTTTCAGTCTCAACACTGTACGAATGATATTTTATCCCATTTTTAAAATAATGAGTGCATTCTAAGTAAGGTCAAATTGATCTGCGTTCCATTTTATTGGTGTTGGTTGCTTTGTCCAGCCTAGACTTCATTAATTTATCGCTATTAATATTGAAAATTGTATTCACAGTTTTATCAAGATACTTTGGAAACCTCCATGGAAGAGGAGAAAGCAGACAAAGATGATGAAAATTTGGAGTTCGCCGAACCTGATAAGAGCTCAGATGATTTAGGCGATGATCAGAAATGTAAGTTCAATTTATTTCTCATTTACTATTGCTAATCTTTCTGAGTAATTCACCAATGTACAAATTTATCATACAGTCAAGAGTATTAAGATTAACTAAATAATTTCCTAATCCAAAACTTAGTCTTTACAACTTTAACAATTCCGTTGTGTTTGCAGCCATGTCCAGCACAGATGATGAGAAGGTGAATGTGAGAGTTGGCCAGAACGGACCACTGAAGGGAGTGCTGGTCCATCTAAAGTCTCGGAGACAGAAGAAGTCTGTCACATGGAAGGAAGACTCGCTGGAGACAATCAAATACTTTGAACTTGATGAAACAGAAAGAGGTAAGATATAAAAATAGAAAAAAATTCCCCCCCCCTCTCTCTCTCTCCCTTGTTAGAATGAGTTTGTGTCCCTTCCCTTATTATGTGTATGGGTGACAACAGATTAGAGAAATCATGTTACATGTGATGTGATCATTGAAATTCGTTATTGAGATTGACAGTCACTTGAGCGCAATTCGGCATTTAATTTAAAAAGACGAGTTTTGTATTCTCTGAGCTCAAGAAATAGAGCTCAATTGATTGAGATAAAATATTATGACTTTGACATATTAAAAAAATTGCTACTATTAAAATATGCTCTTTTGAATTAGTTTATTTACCCAAAATATGTAAACGACAAGTAACAAATGTAAGTTTTTTGACTTAAATTCATGTTGGAATTGATGACTTTATTTATGAATTTATGAAAATACTGGCCCTTGGACTATTATGTTAAGACAATAAAGTTGTTATGATGTACCTCCGTCAAAAACCCTTTTATCGTTGAACTATTTGACGGAGATACATAGCACCTAGGTATTGTAAGTTTTTATGTGGATTTAGATTAGTCATAATATGTTTACTGTATTTTCAGTCAATGTCACCAAGAACTTCAGTGACATGAAACTCATGGAGAGGGAGCATGAAAGGGAGAACTTCCAATTGGTTCGCAAGCTTGGTAAGTAATACATATAAGAATGTTAAATTATTATTTAAGAAAAATTAGGTGCAGTGTCTTGCACCATTTACTATACATCACTTGTTTATTAGCTCTAAACCTCCTATTTACTATTACAATTTAATGTGATAAATACTTAAACCAGTCACATTTTTAAAATTGTGGGCATAATTGTTCTTCATTTATTTTTTAAAAAGTTATGAAAAGAATCTTGTAACAAAACAGAGTTTTAAAATACAATTTTCATGGTTCGATTTTTCCACGGACAGGGTTACTAAATTGTGACAAACGCGCACATTCTGTGCCCAATTGAGGTGACAACTTAACTGTAAACTGAAGCAACTTTTATGTTACTTCAAATGAAAATGTTATACAGTAGTAGCACAACTGAGGAAAAAGAATTTTGACAGCAGCTCTGTGAGTGGCTTATTCAACTTTGTTACATTTCGCAAAAGTTCGATACAGCTGGCATAGAGATGAGATGTCAGGTTATAACACACTATTGTATATTTTAAATAAACTTAATAATGTGTAACATGTTGCAGCTGTGGATGATGTGATGGAAGAGAAGACCAGGTGGCGAGCTCTAATCCCCATAGACATAGCAGCTCCTGTGGTGGCTCCTGGCAAGAACAGTCAGGAGAAGGAGATACAGTACGCCAGGGAGAAGACTGTACCTGCTGCGATATACTTCAACAAGAGAATGTAAGTAGCCATATTTACGGTCAAAAGATACACACCTCTTAGGGGTATTTGCTGACAAAAATGGATGTATTATTCTGGTAGGTTGTACAGTATAAGGAGGAAGATGATGTTCTTCTTTCTCCTTCCACAACCTACAAGAACATGGAAGCATAGATAAATAATACTCGCTTGTGTTGCTTAGTCTATGATGGAAGGCTCTTCTACTGAAGAAGGAGCTAGTATCTACACAAATTCTACATATGTGTTTCTGTTATTATTTGTGTATTTTCATATATTTTTGTCAGTAAAACCTCTGTTAAACCTGCAGTTAATCCTTTCCACCACAAAATCCCTTGATGGCATTTTGTTTGTCCAAGCGTTAAATAACTTAATAGGTAAATTCTTAATGTTTGAAATAACTCGATACCTACAAAATATTGTATTTATTAGTATCATTTAGGTCTATTAGTACATGTTAAACTTAAAATTATTTATTTCAAAAATAAATACTTCATCAAATTTTTGTATTTTTAGTGAATGAATACTGTTTTTGTGAAACAAATATTGATAAAGTATTTATTTAAAAATTACCAGTTCATCATAAGGTTAGTTGTGAATCCATTCCTTCTTTCGCAATGTATTGCTAAACCGTTTTCCTCAATAAACGGATTCACTGAGAAGTGTTATTGATAGCAAAATGATTTTGTAGTGAATGTACAATGTTTTTTCCTACAGTTACCTAACAATGTACATGTTCTCTCACTGATTTGAGAAAGCAAAGCGGCCAATTCACTCTAATTACTTTGTTTCACTCCAGATTTGCAATGTGAAGGTACGTTTCTTTACCAATTTATTTGTTTTATGGTAACTGTAGGAAAAATATAATGTGCAACTCGAGTGCAAAGTGCAATTGCTCACTAGTTGCACAAATAACTATTTTTTGTGTATTATTGTACTTATTTTGTTTTTACTGTGTTGTTATAAACTGATGATTATGTCTGTAGGATCCCAGACGCCCCAGCTGAACCAGACCTTGAGATCCACGCAACTACAGACCCTGCTTGCATCCCTCTAGAAGATATCACAGGCAGTACAGACTCCATCAATGACTTCACCACCACTCCCTGGCCAGAACCCAAGGGCCCTGCACCTCTACCTGTACCTCCCCCTGCACCCGCAGCAGTTATCCCCGCCACACCCTTCCCTCCTACTCCCGTCCCTGCTCCAGGACCTGGACCAAACTTTCCAGGTCCTTTCCCACCAATGGGGCCTGGCGCACCATTCATGCCTCCAGGTCCACCTATGGGGCCCGGCAATGACTGTTGGAGGGTGAGTGACAGTGATTTGTTTCTGTTAGTCTAACTATAGATAGAGTGATTTAAATATTTATACCTTAAAAATGTGTGTACACTGTAAGTAATGCATGTGATTCTTACATAAAAATGTGTTTCAAAAAATAAAATCCATCAACTTTGAATACATTTTTCCTTGCTGTATACTACAAATTTGGAAATTTTTTAGCAAGTCTGGATTCTTGTGTAATTTTCAAATTTTTCTTGAAAAGAAAGAAAAATACAATAATTAGTCAGACTTTTAAAACATAAATCAGCAAGTTAGATCCCTACTTTGTGGTTTTTGGGTTTGTATTACAATCAATTTAAGTACTGTTCTTCAAATGGAATCATAAAATAATGTTGATATCTTTGTTTATCCTTTTAAACCTGGAGTCCCTCCTAACTTTGTTCTCTTGTTTCAAGACTGGAGATGGCAAGGTGGTGGCGATGCCAGGTGATATGATGATGGGACCGCCCCAGCCCTTGATGGGACCACCAGGCATGCCTATGGGACCAGGACCCATGATGCTTCCTCCCGGAGTTACTCCAGAGATGGGCCCATTCCCAATGATGGGACCCAACCCAACCATGCCCGAGGAGATGCACTTCCCCGGTGGTTTCCCTCAGATGCCGGGACCACCGTTCCCCCCTGGACCCCCTGTGCCACAAGGACCCCCCCAGGGCTGGCAGGGTGGAAACAACTGGTACAACGACGGAGACCAGCCACCTCCCCACCACAACCAGAGCAACGGACCTCCTCACCGAGGCAACAACTGGCGAGGCCGCGGCGGCCGCAATCGTAAGTATTGTAAGTCACAACACCCCGAGAGGGACATTCCTACGGTGATGGTAGAGCTGACAAGGTGATGGTGCATGTGGATGCTGGCATTAAACCAACTACTAGACAATCGATATTATTCAACCCAATATTGGCATTTATATTGTAGAAACATAAAAGCAGTACATACAAAAAAATCCTGTCCAAAAACTAGCTTTGGGCTACTTTGATTATCCTGATTTTGACGAGGATCAAATAGGCATGTCTTAGACCAATTGATTCAAACAAGACACTTTAAATACTGTTTTTAACATTTCCAACTTTGTAATCTGTTTGAACAGGAAATATGGCAATGGTATTGAAGGATATAAACATAAAAAAATCAGTTCTCTTATGGAAATTTTTTAAAATCCTCTGGGTTTTTCCACCTTTTTTTAGTTCACCAACGAAACATACTTTTTAATTAACTGTCAAATTAAATTACTTTTAGTTAATTTGTTTAAAATTAAATTTGGTGCTTGTTTTAAAATTGCAGTAGGCCTAATACTTTCACTTTCCTTTACTAAACAAATTTGACCAATTTACTTGTTTCATTTAGTTTGATTTTTCAAGTTATCGTTTATCTTTTGACTTTAGATAACTCTATTCATTTTTAAAACAAGACTATCAAACAAGATCCAACCCTTCTTGTGTGAAACATTTGACTTAGCATGTTCCACACAGTGATTCTCTAACCAAGAGTTTTCTCATGTTTCAGCTGATGGCAGTTGGGGAGGCGGAGGCGGAGGCAACTCCAGGATGCCTATCTGCAACAACTTCCTCAAGAAAGGGTTCTGTCGCAACAACAGTTGTAGGTTCCGACATCCAAGGAACTAAGGTCCGCCAGTGGAACATTTGGCAAATCTGTGATTTAATGTTAAAAACCAGTGTATAGTGATAAAGTGACTATTATGGACTGATGATCCAGTGTTGTAAGCTTCATATTTTATTAGTATATTTCACTATATGATGAACTATTATTTAGTGTGGATTATTAGATTTATTTATGTTTTCATCCGGAGCTTTTCGACGGAGGTTCTTGTATATATCTATCATCGTTATACGAAGGCTGTGAAGTGTACATTTTATTATTTGCATTTTACAAATGCAATCTGTACATATATTTGTGTACTATGTACATTGTAAATAATTTTTAATCATTTCAGTATGTATTTATAATTTTATCAGTTTTCTCTCGAAGTTAGCATGTACTCGTCTGTTTTTATGTTTAATAAATAATACTTCACTACCCAGTTGTTAAATTGTGTTGATAACCCTTGAGCATAAATTATTATTTTCTTCAGGAACAATGGGAATGGTTGATAAATTCCAGCATCCTAAAACAGGGAAAGCATTTTTCATTGGATCGTAATTTACCATTTGAGGGTAGGTTAATTTAACAAGTCTCGCTGTTGACTGGAAGTATTTTAAAATCTTTGGCTGGTGATACTTAACATGATTTTAACAATGAATGATAAAGTAGTCCTCATTGAACAAGGTAAACAAGAAAATTAATTTATGATTTTAGACCTCAAGCAAAATTTTAGGACAGTAATACCGAGAGGCAAAATTAAAAATTCATAATGACATTTGTTTGCAATTTTCCATTTATAGAGCCACCATAGTATTACAAAAATATATTTAGGGTTTCCTTCCTTTTTTTGATTTTGGGTACTAGCAGAATACCCATGCTTTGTACAGGGTCGGCATTTTTTAAGAAACACTCAAGGCTCAAACATGGTACATTTTACCATTGACTTTGATTACTGAAGTAGTTATCCAATTGTAAGTTATAGTAGGAAGGATTTTCCTAAGAAATTCAAAGTTAGCTGCCATATTGGAAAATGCCATTTTAGAAAAAGTTGAATAATAATTCATATTTTTATTTTTAATGTCATTAAAAATTATTAAAGTTCCCAATTTAATGTTTTCTCGAAATCTAATAGTTTCTGAGATAACGATGGTGGCACAGGTAAGTGGTTCACTCTGTATTTACAGTAAACATCATTGATTAGACTTTAGCAATTAGTCAACGGTATTATACTGTATAAAAATTATTGGGATTTCTTAATAAAAATACAATCATATCACAAATGAAAAGTAATAGGATTCACCAAAAACCAAACCTCCATCTTGTCTTGAATTTAGTATATTCATTGGACTCAGGAGAATATACCGGGTGTTTCAAAATGAATAGCTGGGTTTTAACGCTTTATACATTTTATACTATTAAACTTACCACCATAAAATATGCATCATATGAAAAAGCAACTCAAAAGAGTTTATGCCTTCCAAAGACACATTATTTAACAAAATCGATCCAGCAGAACTGTAGATTTAATTGTACAAAGTTAAAAAGTAATCTCCAACTTTTTTCATCACTAGAAATTCGGAGGTTGCTTGATGTTTTTGCAAATAACTTTTAAATGGTGAGGAAATCGACCAAAATGGAAGGTAATATACCGAAAGAGAATAAAATTGCCTACAATCTACTATTATGCATTTTTTGAAAATACTCAAGAAAGGTACCAAAAATTGCCTCAAAAATGAAAAAATTGAAAATCCCCGTCTTCAATGTAGACAATAAACATAGCAAACATTAAGTTTCACACTTTTTTATTTTAAGCCAAATTTAGGCCACATTTATTGAGTATTTTCATGAAATGCATAGCAGTAGATTGTCGGAAATTTTATTCTCTTTCGGAATACCTTCCACTTTGGTCGATTTCCTCACCATTTAAAAGTTATTTGCAAAAATGTCAAGCAACCTCCGAATTTCTAGTGGTGAAAAAAATTTGAGATTACTTTTTAACTTTGTACAATTAAATCTACAGTTCTGCTGGATCAATTTTGTTAAATGATGTGTCTTTGGAAGGCATAAACTCTTTGAACTGCTTTTTCATTTGATGCATATTTTATGGCGGTAAGTTTAATAATAGTATAAAAGTTATAAAGCGTTAAAACCCAGCTATTCATTTTGAAACACCCGGTACTATGGGCATTTTCTTTGACCTGAGCAAGGATGATCAAATGATGGATCAATTGTTATTCCTTCATAAGTGTGTCTTGTTTTGGAATGTAGGGCTGGCACTTTAATTGTTTTGTTTTTTATGATAGGTTAGACTCAGTCGGAGATGATTCAGACGGTATATCTGAAAAAACCCTATCGTTCACCTCATTGTGAAGTCTGACCTATAATGAAGTTGGAGTGTCTCAGGGGCCAGTCCTTGGTCCACTGCTATTCCTTATGTTTTGATTTTATTTCAATCATCAAATAAGATGGAGACGCCACCTAGGTGCATATTTTGACCCAAATATGAGTGAAAGATGATTATATATCATGTCTATCTATATAATACAGTATTTTATTTCAGTTAAAATGTTACAATGTGTTAGAAAATGCTTTAAACTAAACAACTGAAGTTACTAAAGCATTTTACATTACGTATATTTTAGCCATGTATTATTTTATGGAACCGTTTCGGTAAACCTGGGTTTCGGTTAACCGGAGTTCTACTATATGCCCCCCCCCCCCCTGCAAACTAAGCGAATTTCCATTTATTATTGGACTTAGGTATTAAAGGTATTCTCAATTTTCATACAAAAATGAGAAAAACCAACTTTTACTACATGAAACCCACCGTAAGACACTTTTCCCCATGGTCCATTAATACCGGTTCGCGAACTCGTAGTTTTACACGTTTGTACCAAATTTGATAAGAAACAGATAAGTTTTTCTCAAGTTATTGTGCTAATTTACACACACATCAAAAATTAAATATACATGTATGAATTTGAGCGTGTGGTGTTTTGGCCTCTGGGGACATCAAAACGAAAAAGAAAATTGGTACCAGATCCAGGTCTTCCCACGAGACCTCTGGTAATAATTCGATTCCCCATATGGGAAATTCGATAAAAACATCTCAACAGAATCGTTACTGTAACCATCTATACTCTAAATTTGATTTGCTGTTCGAGCATTATAATAGGCACAATATCATCCATTTGGCAAGTTCATTGGTCTGCCTGACAAAAAAGTTTTTTGTTTCTTTAATAATTCATTTCTAAGAAAGATATAAGTTATGATCAGATCTTTTTGATCAGAAGGCAATAATTGAAAAAACATATTCAAGTCAAATAATAAGAAATTAATCCAAGGATGAATAAAGTAATAAAACAATGATTACAAACCCTTTAAGAAACGCAATGCCTTTTGTATAAAATTCAGTCTGGAAATATTTTAATAGTCAATGGTTCCCGCGGCGGCCGCTAGATAGACTATCGCGAGCGTGCGGCCAAGTCAGGTGACTGAGAGAGAGAGAGAGCGAGACAAAAAATCTGCTTAGAAAGAGAGAGGGATAGAGTAGCTCGGCGGCCGCACGAAGCTCATTTCGGGCTGACTATTCTCCGTAAGCGTTTTGCTTCTTAAAGGGTTTGTATTCATTGTTAATAACCAATGTGAAAACTCAATAATTGAAAACTGGTATGCTTTGTTAATAATAATTTAATATGAAACAAGATACATTACAATAACCATATAACTAAAATATGCATTTACATGGGCATACTGTACAACAAAATGTCAATGTACATTGGGTATTGGACGGAATCTGTTATTGCACATAATAAAGAGTCAAATCATTCTATTTAAACCTATTTTCTTATTGGTAGCAGAAAAGTTGTTTGAAAAAATGACATGTTAAAAAAAAACAATCACTTTAAGACAAGATTTATTTACATTTTCATAGAGCGATTTATTAGTTAAATTTGACTTTATTTTATCATTACAACTAATGCTAATAAGTTAATTGTACAAAAATAGACTTTTAAACAAAGCTCTAATCAATCAATTATATAAAAAATCTCTTGATATAAATCCAGCTATAAAAAAGATGAATGAAATATTGTTTTACAATTACATACTGGTTATATTGCTTTACAATACATTTAACTACAAACCTTTCTTTTATTAGCTAAAAAATATAGATTAAAATATCAAAGAGTGTCATGAATTCAAACCAATAAAATTAAAATTACAAATTAAGTAGTGATGTATCAAACAATATCAAGAGTTTGTTTGCATTTTCTAGTAATTCCAGATCACGTAAACTTGAGTAACATTTTAAGTTTAACACAACTTTAGCTGAGTTAATATTGTATTACACTTGCATAAATTATCTTAATCTTCGTTTATTGTATGTTGAATCATAATTTCAATGGAATTTATCGCATTATAAACTCAGTGCTTGATTTGTGGCGGAACAGCGTTCACACCGCATCTTTACACGGAGGTACCTCTTTCAGAAAGATAAAATATTGGCATCAGGAAACAAAATTCATAAATAAGTTTGACTTTATTGAAATGTTTCTTTTTTTCCTGATACTTAAACACAGGTAAACAATTTTTTGAGAGTGGATATGAGGGTCATAATTCTTGGTAGGTTACAGTCCCGGCACCTTATTTTTAACAAATCAAGCACTGTAAACTTATAATTACCTAATTAATTAACTGGACAAAATAAAAAAAATAAAAACAAAAAAGAAACCTTTTATAAATATCAGTCTTGTAACAAGTTGAAAACGTTTCAACACTTTTATGAAGAAACCCTACTTTGTTACTCATAACTTGCATTTTCAAATATAACATTTTTTTCATAAAAGATAAATGTAAATATTTACATCAAGAACCATAATCCATGAATCATACAGAATATAGTAATCCTTTGTCTTTTTAAAATAATAATGATTCATACTCTATGAATATATTAAAATATAATTCAATATTTCCTAAATATAATTTTAGACAATCGTTCTGACAAGTTTCACTTTTATCTGTGCCAGACTAGAGGGATTTCACAAACATAGCTTTAAAACAGTTTTTGAGTTGGCACCCGTGATTCTTACTTGGGCCTTTGTTTGTTCATGTTGGTAAGCATGAGTGAGATGTAGGAAGTTAGCAGGTCATCCATTTTGTATCCAAGGGACGTTTCACATAACAGCTTCGACCCTCGGACCAGGTTACCGATTGTCATATGGAAATACGTGTTGCCAGACGACCAGTTGGAGATACGAGTAAACGGGTGCGTAACAAGAATGTCCTGCAATTTAAAATGTATTAATAACATTCACAAACAACAAAATTGCTACAGTAAAATGATTAATTATTTATAGTATAATTTAGAGTAGGTAAACAGCGTAAGGAACTACTAATCCATCAAAATAGTTTTTTGTGTCGTCCTGATGCTACTAAAATTTAATAGTACAGATTACTGATGAATTGTACTTTACCAGCCTAAGCCTACTTTGCCAGATATGTTTCACGCACAGGCCTGATCTGTATGTGGACAGGGCAAATGAAAGGTTCAAGCTTCAACCTCGTAAAAATTACTTTTATTGTCTTACAACTCACAACCCAATTCTTGATGAAGTAAATTTTGGTAACAGACTAGTTTGATGTACTAAAATATTAAAAAAATATATATAAAAGCAAAGACATTTTTAACAAAACTTAAAATAAAATGAAGAAAAAACTAAATGTTTACCGGTACTTGTAAATTATTTTGATTTGCTGTTTTTAATATTCCATAAATGAATGGTTGCATTGTAAATCCATATCCAAAAACAAAGCTGGCCAATTTGAGCAAAAATCATAATAGAAAAAATCAAATAATTGAATATGCTATACAAATATTTAAACAAATTTGTTATTCAGACATATAAATAACAAATACTACACTAGTAAGTAAAATACTCAAGAACTGAGAGTAGTATTTCTTTTTAGTTGAACTAGCTAAGGCCAAATACGAATGAGTAACAACGTATTATTGTAGTTTCCCCTGTAATTTTGTAACTGCACTACTACAGAAATACACTATTTAAGCTGTGTTTACACGGAGCCAGTTGTCAGGCAGACTACTGCCTCAGGTAACTTGAAATACACTAGCGGCAGATAACCTGCCCCGTAACTTGCCTGCTCTATTGGCCTCAGGTAAACTCGTAAAGGTAGCTTTACTAAAAAAAATATTCTAAATCATGTTTGACCAGCGTCAATTTTATTCACAGTTTTGTTTTCTAAATTCAATTCACTCTTCCCTACCTTAGTCTGAGGATGGATCAGGCTCACTCCATGTTTGTTGATAGCTATCAAAAGCATCTCAGGGTAGTTTGGTTCTGTCGTCTGCTTCACCTCAAAAAATGCCGAACCAAATGTTGGCCATCGGTAGATTATCTTCAGGAAAGTGATCTTAGCATCTTCAGGGCTCATTCCTGCAAAAGTATATCCAATTTGTGAGGATAATGAGGAGATGTTTAACATAATTTCTGGGTTTTTGTATTAATGAACATGTCTTAGATTATAATCTAAATTAATTTTCAGTGCCCCATTCTACACAAGTACCAAAATTAAAAACCCTTTCCCACGATTATTTGGGCAAATATAAAGAAATTGATAGAACATAAGCATTGTGCTAATTAATCATGTTTTAGGTAAACATTTTTCACATTCAATGTACCAATAAGTGTTACTGAATGAAATTGAGATAAAAGTTATTATTTAATACTGAATTGTAAATTATTGGTTCCATATAACTTTGGAAATTGAGTTTTTTTCCAAATTGAACACCGGCCAAAATGTCCCTCAATCATCACTACCCTGAAAACGTCTCATTTTTGAAAGCCACACAATTTTTTTAAAATCATGACATCTTTTAGAAGACTAAAATTTGAATAAAAATTGAAAACTACTTTCATACTCCACGTTTTACAACAACCTTTGTTTTTCATTACAAATACACTGTTTCACATTTTCTGTAAACAATACATAAAAACCAAATTCTTACCTGCATCTTGGTTGTAAGCTGCAACAATAGCTCGTTTCCAGTCAGCAGAACTTTGCACCTTCAACAAATCACCTGGCACCAGCTCTCTCAGCATTTGTCTGCGGAAATGCAGCTTTTTGTAATTAAAGTCTGATTACTATTAAATATTTATACAACTACTAAAAGACAGTTTAAAGGTCTTGAGAATCTGAATCAGCCTAACCTACTTGGTTTAACTGAAAAGTTGACAGCTCATTCCAGGTTTTTCAAAGTTGTAAATTTACTGTTCATTCATGATTTAAAAGTTGTTATTGTTTGAGCGGGGATCTTAATTCAAAGGCAAGGTAATCAAAACCAGTATACTTACGGAATAGCCTGCAATTCTTGTTTACTCTCTCCAAACCTCACACGATATACAAGTGCAGCTAGACGTGCCGCTTCTTCTTTAGTGCACTTGTGATATCCTGTCAAACAAAATTAGAAATCAGTTAATGAGGCAATAATATACAATCAATTTAAATTAAATAAATACCACAGCTTCAATAAAGGACCTTTGGCATCTTAAAAAAAATAGTTTAATTGATTCTCCAGGAAAACTAAGATAATATTTATCACTCAATAGCCTTCACAGTGTAATTTAATAAATCATTAATTATTGTTTCACATTTAAAAATTACAAAAGCTGAGTAAATGGTTTTAACGATTATCGAACAATCTAAAGGTCGCTGGCTAGATCCTAAGATGCTGATACCATTGTCCAGGTATCGGTGGTATCTAGAATCGACACATTCCTAGTTAGAGTGTTAATAAAATAGAACGGATCATATCCTCTTGCTTGAACAACTCTGTATCAATAATTGTCCAGTGAGAAGTTACTCTCTAGATTGTATTGCATGTACCTCTGAGTAGCTTAGGAAGCTCTTGGTGGAAGTGGAAGATGAGGTCAGAGTTACGATCCTTCCCAGGGACAGTGTTGGTCCAAAGTTTCTTCATGAAGAACACTTGGTAGGTGAACTGAGGTGTGGCTCCTGCAAGGGATATGGTAGTTAAGAAAGATAAACAAACATTATTGTAGTTTTATTTACGTAAAAAATACTACAATATTGAGAGAAGAATATTCACAAAAAACATTATAAAAGTTGCTGATATAATTAATCTTATGTTGGATTTTATGACTTTATGTTGGTAACTTCCTTATATGTGTTGAATTGGATTTGTACTTCCCAAAATTGTAGCTTAAGATGTAATGGGTCTAAATGGTGTTCTTAGTTAAATACATACTTTTAACGTATGAAGTACTTAATGTAAGAAATTTGGAATAATTTGCCACGGCAAAAGTATAAAAGCCTAAATAACAACACAATGCAGTCATAATAAATGAATTGGAAAAACCCATCTAACTAGTGTTGTTCAAAGGTTTATTGCGGACATTTTCCTTCATGATGGTAAAAAACAATACACAACGTTTCAGAATCTATAATCTGATCTCGTCCTCAGGTGAAAAAAAATTAACTAACACATTACAATTAACACACAAAAAGTCCAACCTAAGTTGGAATACACTACAGAGAGTAGCAGCCAAAAAATATGCACTGTATAACAGTGAAGTCATGATAAAACGAAAAAACAACCAATCACAAAACACTATAGTCTATAAAAGGTGTAGAATAAACACTAAAACAGCTCAAACAAAGGAACACCAATCGCACAGTTTGCAATGACTTTACCAATGAGACCAATGAAACGTTGTGTATTGTTTTTTACCATCGTGATTGAAAATGTTCGCAAAAAACCTTTGAACAACATTAACTCACCATCACCAACAATGAACTTCAAACAAAGCATCTAAATAGCTTCAAGCCTATTTGTTAAATGTTTCCTAATTAAAAACTAAAATACAGCATGGATTGGAAAATTAAGAACATATTTTTTTTTACAAAGAGCAAGTAATTGACGTTTAGACCAAAAACTTCAAGAGAAAAACTGACACACTTGAACAGACAAACATATTACTAACCATCTCTTGACGGCCTGGCCTTTTTGATCCAGTCAGTAAGATGGCGGACAAAGTCAAAGAAGAAATCTCCCTCTGGGACTGAGATAACTTTGTCTGCAATCTTGACAAAGAGACTGAAACCTTCACAAGACCTCAATCCTAATCTCTGGGCGATGTTGGCACAGAAGTCCTTAGCTCTTGTTGATGAGTCCACCTCGAAAGCCTTGAAAGGGTAAATTTACTGGTAAGTTGCATAAAAACTTCAATGCCTGTACTAAATTTGTAAGTCTGTCATGTGATCTTAAATGATTAAATAGGTTTACGAGTTCAATTTACAAATAAACTATAGGTAAACATGAATTTTCACATACATTTTCCAAGAAGATTATATGAAAATCAAAACCGTAATTAAATTTAGTTAACATTATTCAATCAGTGATTCAAATGCTTATGCTAATCAGAATTTTATTTTTTATATTTAGGAAAAGTTATCAAATTTACCCTAATTCGTCAAATTTAACCACAAGATTACTTTTCAGGAAAAATCCCACTTTTGAAATAATTCTTTTTTGGTTTTCTCAAAATATATAGATTTTTTGTCATAGTAAATCAACATTTGGTCGGCTATGCCAACACTGGTTTTTTTTAGTATTTCATGTTACTTAATGTGACTGAAAAAAACATAAAACACAGACGTTGAAGCCTCTAACTCTATTTCACTATGACATAAGTATCTGGTTACAGAAGGAGTCAGAAAGAAAAGTAGATAAAGTAGTACAAGGGCCGAGAAGAGAGTCAATCACTGTAATAATGGCAATATGTTTAACCAATCAAAAAACTGGTTAACCTTGTTGAATTGCAGAGCAAAAACTGTATTGTATTTCTTTACAGAATAAGAAACTAATAATGTGTCAAAACTGAAACCTACCTCATCAGTGTCATCAGGGAAGTAGACTTTGTGGAAGATCTGCGTAGTCTTGTGTTGTATTGCCTCCACCTCTACCTGGTGAGGTGGATACTTGCGCTGACCGTTACGCAGTGTCTTCTGCAGCCTCTGCAGCGAGTCTTGCGAGATCGGATGTCTTCTGGTCCTCAGGAACAGGGTCAACTCCTGGGAAGGATAAAGTGTAAAGTCAGCGATAACAACAGAAGTCACCCAGGTCATCAGCTCTGGATGGTTTGTCTTGAGCAAAATTTACTGATCATGGTATCTCGAATAGCATTGGGCTACAAAGTTTAGGCTGTTTGAGGGAAAGTTCTCCCACTACTTTTTCACTGAATATATGTCGCAGCAGATTATCGTTTTGGCAAACCTCAGCTGTTGAGCTATTTTAAAGGGAAACACTTAAAAATGGTTTTCTTTATCGATAGACCACAAATATCCAAATGATGGCCATAAACCAGACGAGGATTGTTTAACACGTTTCCTCCCAGGAGTCAATACTCTATGAATAGTCTCTACCCAGTAGTAAATGTGTACACGGATTATTTACTTTCAAAATGAAATGAATACAAAAAGATGATTGTGGCGTCTTTTACAAGAGAAGTTAACAAGAGGTGTGTTGTGTAGTGGTTACCTTGAGAAGATTCTGACTACAAGCGAACAGTCCGGTAGCCAACCACATCAACTCCCAGCCTCTCTCCTCACTCATGCGGTTGCGATTGTCTGTCAGCTGACGCATCAGCTGGCAGAAGATCTCATCTCGCAAGATCTCCTAAACAACAATCAGAAGTAATTATTAACTACCAATTGTCAAATTCAAATTATAAAAATATTGTACGAGTAAATAATGTATTTCATCCTGGTAATCTTCACTTTATTGGTCCCGATTTGTTAAATTTTGGATGTAGGTGATTCATATACTGAAAAAATACAGTATATCTGTAATGGAATTGTTTTGTGTGTATTTTAGTATAGGTACGACCAGTGGAAGAAAGAATGAGACAGTGCCTGCCAGCTTTTTTAAACTTTCTTAGATATCTATAGTATTTTTTAAATCTGAACTAACTTAATTTCTTTTAGAAGAGATTGCTAAATCAATTTTCAAACAGTGGCGACCTATTAAAGATCTTTGCTTTATACAGTTTTGCTTCATAAGGTCCTTTGACGGAATACGTCTAATCATATAGAGAAAGGTCTATACATTTTTTTTTAGTTTTTAGACATTTAACAATATCTTGATTCTTGCAGGAAAGACTCAGGATACTCAAGTACAAGTTTGAAGTTCAGTTAATAGTAACAGTTAGAACAATGAGTAGAAATGCTAATGACAAACTACTCACATGTTTCAGAGGTCCGTCAAATATCTGGTCCGTGTACTCATTACTGGCTCGACGCTTGGCGGGAAGGTCTCCGCAGTATTTGAGGATCGCAGTGAACGCAAAACATGCCTCCTCAGCCAGTTCTTCCTTCCCTTGCAGCTTGCGGAGTAACGGCTGCTTCATCGGCTCACGGGAGTGTCGCCACAGATCGTCCACCATCCCTCGTCTTACTGAGGTCAGTGTCAGGGCCTTGGACATTGTGCGTTTTGGAGGTAGTCTGTAGACAAATGAAAAAAGAGCAGAGTAGAATTTAATTAAAATTTTTGATCATCCAAAATAAATCTTTACAAATACAATCCCAATGGTTGGAGTTGTGTCGCAAAATATATTATTGTAAAACCAATAACAATAATTGTTAAATAAAAAACCCAAAGTAACAATATAAATTTAAGTTACGTTACAGCAATTGCTGTCTTAAATAGTTCCAATACATAAATTACTTATCAAAGCGCAATATAGATCTTGTAGCTGACTCATCAAACGTTAGTTTGCCTCACTATTTTTCTTATTCTCTGACTAACCACTACACTGGTTCACTGAGTGATTGATCTTATATTTTACAATCAATTAACCGTTTGCGTTTTGACTAGATACCTGAAGTGATCAATTGCGTATTCAGCGAGTGTGTGAGGTTTCTCTCTCGGCTCCGTGCCATTCATGTGAGGAGTGTAAAGTTTACGTCCCTGGTCAGCCCCTTCCAGAGAAAACAATGCCTGCCAACAACAATAACAACTTGTTAAAACAAATATATCATACAAGATTTTACAACACTAACATAAACATCTAACAATTAATAGTACTAAAGACCTTCTATGTTGTTTAACAACACCTACTACTGTATTCTATTTGTTAGAGATTTAAGATAATGAGGTGTGATAATAAAAGAATAAACAAAAAAAAAGAAGAAGAAGAATATAAGTGAAATACAACCATATCAATAATATTTTCACAATAAGAGACAAAAATGTAGATATATGGTAGAGGCTAATAATAATCAGCCCAATTAGTTTATACATATAACTTAACCTGCTTTGACTTTAGGAAAACCATTCTCTGAAATGAGTGAAATAAAACTGATTCATTTAAACAGCTGAGGTAAGCCACCCACCAATATGTCGTTGTGAGGTTTGCTGACTGTGGGCAGGACGTAGACAGTTTCCGCGGGGAAGTCGCCTCTCTCGCCCGTACGTTCACATCGGCCCACGCACCAGCCGCTGTTCATCACTGTCTCGCCCGTGCTGTCGTCCTCCAACACTATTAGGTCACCCTTGCGGAAACTCAGGAATGAAGAACCTTCACCTAAACATCGTATTTGTGTTTACGAAGGCCTTTGTAATCAGGCCAAAGGGTAAGAAGGGTTCAAAATGATATTGTTAACCTTATTGTGTGTTTTCTAACCAGGCAATCATCATGTTTTTGAGCAAGATTTTAAATTGATTTAGTGGAAAATTTCTACTGGAAATTCTGATTATCCTACTTGCAGCAAGGTTGGATAGACAAGCAAATGTTATAAGATATAAATAGATAAAAACCCATTAAAAAAATGCTGAAAATCATGAAATTACTAAATTTTCTCCATTGTTAAACTTATAACCGTCATCACAAATAATATCCACACTGACCTGGAGCCTTGTAGTCCTGCAGGGCAATCACAAAGCTGGACCGTTTCTTCAGTCCCTCCAGGAAGTAGACCACAAGATCCCGGATGTCCTCTGCGTTGGGACTCTGGAATGTGAACTCCTCTCCTCGCACCGTAGACAGGGTGAAAGTCTGGGTAAATACCTTGTTGGTTCTGAAATTTGATGTAAATCATACAAAATTATCTTTAATCAATCAATGGTATTCAAACAACTTCAGATTTATAAAAGTAATATCTAATAAACAATTCTAATAAAATAGAATCTAATAAAATAGAAACTGCAACCCTCTTTTCAATGATTATTGAAGCTGTTTCAATAATTTAATTACTTTGGTGGTTTCAAAATAATTTCAGGAGCAACTAGTAACGGCTCTTAAATTTGAGTGATTTGTAGACTGCTCAAGAACATGGTTTATTATCTTAAGAAAAAGAGTGTATAAGTTATAATAAAATTTACTTGAAAACAAGGCACTAAATGAACTAAAACAATGTTTTAAGGACCTGATGCTGGCACCAAAAGGAAATTGAATGGAGAATAATTTGGATCCTAGTAAGAACTTACTTATGACTAGCAACAGTTGTAATTTCTGGGAAGGAGAGTTCCAGCAGGACCTGTTCTTGGTCATCCACTACATACACTCCGGTCCAGTTCACTGCAATGATCACGTCGTTCTTTGGTAGATTTGGGCCTGCAACCACAATATATGATTAATCCAATTTGCAAATGCCTAATTTAATATGAGTATAAGGGTTGAAATACACCTTAGTCATTTTTACTACTTTTAGATTGAATTTCCTGATGAAGCAATACGTTGCAAATTCTAGCAGTTGTTATGGATTTTAGGATTTATGAAATATGATTTTCAATAACCATTAAATCACCTCTATAGTGGCTAATTCAAAACTAACAGAATATTCCTTACCTGAGTTTCTGTAAGCTTCGTAAAAACGAGAGAACAGTAAAGGCCATTTGAACTTTGCGTATCCGACTACATCTTCTTTGATCCTTAGGGCAGGAATCTTCTCCTTGACGTAATAGCTCTAAACATAGCATGCAACACAATGAAAACATGCAAAACACAACACAGCGATAAAATAACTAAAATATAACAAAACAAAAATATATAACTGATGAAAAAATTGGAAGCAATTAAAGGAATTAGAGAAATACATACTCACCAATATTATAAAACAGATGCTAGTTTAGTAAACAAAAACTGTATGAATTTCAAGCGTACATAATTATTTTAAAAACATCAAATAATAATGTATTTAATATTTATTTACAATACCTTTTTGTAAGCCTGGACTATGAGGGCTGCCCACCGATCTATCGACTTCTCGGCATTTGTTAAACAGTAATCAGGAATGTAGTTGGGTAGAAGGTTCAACAACCTGTCCATGTTCAAGTCAGCTGCAAACTCTATGAAATATTGTTGAGCTGCAATCATCGCCAAATCTTCCTCCTGTAATTGGTTTTTATATTTTAATAAATTGTGTGGTCAATAAATTAGTCAAATGTTTTATAATTTATTTTTCTCTATTGTTTAGGTGAAGTGGTAGAACATTATGGCTATGGTATATGTGTAACTATAGAATAATGTAAATTTAAAGAAGCAAATTTTATCAAACTGTGCTCTCCCACATTGCAAACACAAAGCTATAAGTATAACTGCAATAAGCATTTTTTATACTTATATGCCAACCCCGTACGAAAGATGGGTACTCAGCTAGTTTGTTTCCCCAAGTTATCTTACCTTGTCACACCTATACTCCCCGAACTTGACTCCTCGGACAACTTGTTGGTAGATGAGGTTGGTAGCCACCTGGTCCTCCGTAGGGTCGTGCCATGGAGCAAATATCTCCTTGCGGAAGAACAGCCTCCACGGAGCATTGCGCTCCTGAGCTCCTTGCTCTTTGGCGTATTGTTCACACTGAGAGATGGCGTCCATAACATGGTCTCCTCCGCTGCCAAGTGATGACACCTGTGGACAGACCAAATGGTTGTGACATTTTTTAACTAATTATTTTTTCACTTTTTATTTGTTTTTTGTATTTCTTCACCACTGGAATGTTTTCAAACATATATTTATGAGGTTTTTATAGTATTATTAGTCTAGTCCAATGAAACAAAATTGTATCTTGGTCCAGAGTTGACTCCATTTTGCTTACACGAGCAACTTCAAAATTAGAAAGTTGATTCAACCAACTTGCAGATAAGGGAGTACTTCACTGTGCTTACAAGGGTGGATTACTCTGACCCCTAACTACCTCTGAGACTCTATGTTCTTGCTACTTATAATCAACCTGTGTCTTACCATGGAATACGATAGAAGGTATAAACATAAACTAAGAAAATTATATATTTATCTAAGCTAAAGAAGAAGAATTCAAAATTAAAGGTAAATTTTCAGGGTCTAAATATTTTTAGGATCGCTAGTATATGAACTAGTATTTAACTCATTTGAAAAACATGGATTGTGCGCTCTGTACTGCACAGTAAACCTGTAATGGAGTAGGCCTAAAACATTCTCTTCTCATGTATAATGGAGTAAAGCCTTTTCTTCTCAAGTATAATGGAGTAAAGCCTCCTCTTCTATTGTATAATGGAGTGTAGCCTTCTCAAGCACAGTAAAATTAATAAAACACAATTACATTACCTTGTCAAACAAGGCGATATAGAGGGAGAAGCCGAACTGGTCCTTGAGCCCGATCTTGTCGCTGAGTTGGTTGCAGAGTTCCCTCGCTGTGGTGGCCGAGTCAGCCAGGAGAGTCTTGGTGTTGCCATCCATGAATGTGATTGGCAACATGATGGGCTTCTTGGACTTTGTGGCCTGGAAACAACCATAGATAAGTGATTTTGAAATTAAAATCTTAAAAATACTTTTTAGTAGATGAATATTTATAGGAGATGATTACAGTGGTGAAGTTGTGAATTTTCCAGTTCAGAAACGCTCACCATCGTCTCGGAAAAACAACGAGTTGCCTATTGGGTTCGTAGGATTTTTTTGAAAAAATAGATAAGAAACACTATACTCACAAGTTTCCACCCATTACACCACTGCATGGTCAAAGCATCAAAATCCTAAGACTTTTGTTAAGTGAGTATGTCTTTCAACAATAAATTGAAAATAAGTTTACATATTTTAATTTATAACAAACCACATAAAAGTTGATGACTGCAGGTTATTTACTGCTTTTAGAGGAGTTCTTTTTAAAAGGAAAACCAAGCTGCTGGATAGAATACAGCTTACAGTCCTACATCCTACCTAAGAAAATTAGAGTTCCATAAATTATGAAACTGTCTCCATTTTGATAAAATTGCTGACATGCCATAAAATCATGAAAATATTTACTGGCTAAAATAGTTCTTAGTTCTGAGTAATAGATACACAAATAAAATATCTCAAAACCTTGAAACAAGCCAGATTTTTTCTTAAATCTACTCTCTGAAGAAGTCCAACATGAGGACAAAAGAAAAAATATCAGTGTTTTGTTTAGTGGCTGTTTTTTGTGTACTAAAAGCCCCTGGAACCTAATTTTCTTTAGTTAGCTATAAGCTCAACTTTATCCCTTTTCAAAATAATTCTAGAGATATTGGTGTATCATTAAAGCAGGAAACCCACTGGTCCGACACTCTCCGACACGTCACCTTCCGTCAAGGCTCCGACACCTTCCGACAAAATTACTTTGCATTATTTTAAATGGACTGTAACCCACTAGTCAGACACGACACCTTCCGATCCGACACGTCACGACAACATTGCTCTCTGGGGCATTCTTGTCGGATGTCGGATCCGTCATTTCTCCACTCTGCGTGCACCAGGCCTAGATTTACTGTCTAGCTTTGTGTGTGATCACAATGTGGAACGGATATGGAACATGTGATCAAAAGAGTGTGATGTTTTTGTACAATTATTGGTTACGGAGAAAATTCAAAGAATTTTTATTTTAAAATTCCCATGATGTTCTTATGGAGAATATTATAAAATATTGTAAGTTTGCTTTCTGATGGATATATTTTGATCACATTTGGTAAATTTCTTTATTTTATACTAAGTTATTAATACTTTACTAAAAACCACACTTTTTTACCCTCCCTGTAGCAGAAATCCTAGGTACTCATAAAACCTAATGTTAATTAAATACACTTAATTGAAAATCAATTCAGGTAAATAGAAAATTTGCTTAGTCGACAGGTTTGTTGCGACGGGGGTATTATTGTTTACATTTTTTACTGTACTTTTTGCTAATTTCCCTGTAGTACAGAAAATGTTACCGGAATTATCAAGGTGGGTCTAGGAAGGTCCTTGACCATTGTAATCTCTCATACTAACAGAGATCGTCATAAATGTTATGGACATTTTTCATTATTTGCTCCCTAACTATTGCTTGTGAACAGTATGTGATCACATGTTCCATCGCAACTGACACTGTTAGAGTGGTGGTGTATTTCTCGTCGGAGGCCTACTGTCGGAGCCCGTCGGACCAATGGGTTAATGCCTTAAAATTGCGGAAGGCGTCGGAAGGTGTTGGAGACTTGACGGAAGGTGTCGTGTCGGAGAGCGTCGGACTAGTGGGTTTCCTGCTTTAAGTTACACATCACCACACTGAAATGTAGAAAATAATAAACGACTAAGGATTAATTAACTAAGTGTATAAAATTTGCAGTACCTGAAGTTCTAGCCAACTAGGGGGCTGGTTACGTGTTCCGTTGTTGAATGTACGTTTCAGTCTGTCTTCACAGTAGGGAGCATAGCCTGGTGGACCTTCACGAATGAAGGCACGAAGGTAGTTGACAAACTTCTCAGACGGAGCGAAACACCCCACACATAATGACAGCAGGATCCAACCTCTAGCATGGGACGACTTGGACGGATTGTTGGTCAGTTGTTTGCAGATTTGGCAGTAAATTTCATCCCTGTTGAAAATAATAACAATATTTACTACGTACACTTACAGATATAATATGATGTGAACAAAATGTGATAGTTTTGAAATGCAAATTTACAATTAAACCTGGGAAATAATTTTTTTAAATATCACTGTTCTCCTAATGTTTTGTCCTGAAGAATATAAAGACAATGAAACTTCTAGTTGTGATTCTAGACAGTTACAGATTGCAATACATCACTAACTTCAATTTCAGCTAAAAAAATAAATCAAAGGCATGTTGAATATGTATTTTCTTGTATTCCCAACCTGAGTTCAGCCCGCAGTATTCCGTGGCCGATGATGAAGTGTAGTTTCTCCAGGTTGGACGTAGGTCTAGCCTCAAGCCACGATTGATAGCTGTCCGCCGTGTACTCGTCCTCTTGTAGCTTCCTTCTCACATCATCTCCCAGCTTGGTTTTGCGTTTCAGTGTCAAAGACACCAGTTTATGCCTGATTGAGCGAGGTTTCTGCTTCAGAAAGGTCTCCTGAAACAAAATATTTTGTTAATTTATTGAAGCTGACAAGTCAGAGTATCAAAGTCAATTAATTGAAATCCCTGTAGACTATTATTGTATAGAGACAATAATTATTTTAACTTAAAATTTAGTTTGAAACTGTTTATTCTTGGGTTTTGTGTATTAAAAGAGGTTCATCAAAGTTACTTCTACTGAGTTGTGGAAGAGGATTATTTTATTATTACAAACTGACAAACACATAGGCACGCTAAGTTGTTAATATTTGAAAATAAGACTTGGCTTTTCAAAAGTTTGCTGGCCACAAGTTTGAACTGCTTTTTTGAAAAATTGTAAAGATAGGCTACCACTTGCGAATCCACAAAACCACAAATGAACCAGTATAAAACGGATGAAAATACGACACAAAATTACTCACAGGATCCATCCCCATCATCTGGGCCTCTTGGAACTCCTTGCTGCGGATGAAGTTTCTGCCGAGTGTGGCCGTGACCTTTGACATGACAGAGGTCGTATCTCGCTCCATCGTGTGATACCTCGGCTCCGGGAGGTCGCCACAGAACCTCAGGATTGTCACCCATAGAGCTTGAGCAGCCTGTAGACACAATAGGGTAGGTTCAGTCAATATGACTTGTTTTGATGATAGGATTATATTGCCCACCTTCACTTCTGGGACACTAAGCTTAAGAAGACCCTTTTACACATTACTTCAGGCGTGGCCTATAGGGTCGTGGTATTGTCAAACAGCTGGTAATTTTGGCAGGATTTAATGGTTAAGTGACACTTTCAATTAATTGACTGGTTTTAAGGAAGGTGTAGACTCTAGGTCCAGTATCCAGGCACATCAAACATAACTTATTGTGCATGCCCCACTTGCTCACTAGCTGGGTAAGCCAGCTGAAAGAGCTTTTGCCTTATGTTATCGTCTGATCCATCTCCTTTTGCATGAGACCAAATCAAGAAAGCAATCAAATCTACACCTCCAAAATGAATACTGGAATACACCACTGATATTCTTGTCATGCAATATATATATTGCTATTGTTTACCAGTTGGTCGCCCTGCGTGTGTAGTGGCAGCAGTGGATGCTTCAGCGGCTTGCGGCTGTACTGGTGAGTGATGTTGCCTTGGAAGTAAGTTGCGGCAAACTTCTGGAACTTGAACTCACTCAGATCCTCCTCGTCTTCCGACTGGGTCTGCATCGCCATGATCAACTCATTGGGGTCCTGCTTGTCAGTAGGCAGGTCCTGGAATGAAATTGTCAGTTATAAAATTGTATTGACAACCAAAATATTATTGGAGCTATTGATATTGGAGTCAAATCTCCTCGGAAGAAGTAAAGTAGGCAGGAATAAGATGAAACCTTATAAGGGATTAGGAGAGAGCTAACCTAGTCAAGTGAAGTGGAATAGAATGTTCTAAACTTGTTTGATTGTTCTTTGTAGGTGAGTCTATTATTAGGTATTCAAAATTAAAATAGCTTGAGTAAAGATACCACTTATTTTTTTACAACACATAGACAAGTTGAAATGAGAACATTAAAATCAGCGCAGATTAGGATATATATTGTTGTACTCAATTCAAATCTATACAGGCTTTTCTTCATAACTTCAAAGCACAAGACTGTATATGGAATGCAAACTTAAAGATAAATAAAAATAATAAATTTTTATAATCAGTCAAAGTCCAAGTAACAAATAATTTCAAACTATAAATTTTAAAATATTTTGAAATAAATACTAGAAAGTATTTATAAATTATATGCAATTTTAAAACTAGGAGAATATTTCTTTATATTTTTCATATTCAATTGTACCCTATTCACTTGCTAAAAAATCATCTCATTTGTAGTAGAAAACCAACCTGTTTAGACGACACCATTGGTAAACAAGTTTTTATCCAAACCAACTTGAACAAAACTGAACGCTCTTTCATTTTATTAGATTTTTTCAGTGAAAAAAATACACATGATAATATCTCGTGTAAGAACACAAGTTAAAATAGTAACACTATGAAAATGACACAACACTTTAACAAAGAATTATAACATAATTCATACGGAATATTTTGTAGCCGACTTCATATAGTGAAGGTCCGAGTAACACTGCGAGGTCTGTATGATTAGAAGCTACCAGAGCATGAAATGTATGCAAGGCTACATACAGCACATCTCTAAGAGATGATTAGCTAAATTATTGCCACTGACCATAGCGGAGGGCGTCATGCAAAACCTACACATGCAAATCAAGGTCATAAGAAGCTTAATGAGAGTATTTTTATCAGATTTTAGATGGTATGATACTAAGTGTAATAATAACTTGTTATTTGTAAAAAAGTGTGTTAATAGTTTATTGTTTTTAACACATTCTTCAGTCTAACTTTTTTCAGATAGGCTAGCCAAACCTTCTCTAAGAAAAAAGAAGAAAAAAACTTGATAGTACCGATACCAAAATCTTAAAAAAAAAATGTTAATGTTACAACTATTTTCAAATAAATAGTAAAGTCTTACCTTAGCAATCCTTATTATGGTGGTCCGATATTAATTTCAAACCCGTAGGTTCATCATCAGTCGGAAGTTTAGGTAGACCAAATTTTTGTTATAAAATCCACCCGATGGGTTTCGTAGAAATGTTGACATTTAACACGAAGACACACATTACAGTTGACATAAATAATATTCGTAGTTTAGGGATAAAAACCATGGTTTTATAAAACAGTGGGATAACCTCTCATATAAAACCATGGTTTTTATCCCTAAACTACGAATATTATTTATGTCAACTGTAATGTGTGTCTTCGTGTTAAATGTCAACATTTCTACGAAACCCATCGGGTGGATTTTATAACAAAAATTTGGTCTACCTAAACTTCCGACTGATGATGAACCTACGGGTTTGAAATTAATATCGGACCACCATAATAAGGATTGCTAAGGTAAGACTTTACTATTTATTTGATTATATAAGCAATCCAGAGGCTGAAATGATAGACAACTATTTTATACAGGGTTAGGCAAAAGTCTGGACAAAATTTTTAAATATAAAGCCCCACCAAGTGACACATCATTTTGAAGGCAATCAGTTAAAAATAATATTGGCAAAAACCAGACTGCAGAATATTGGTTTTCCTACTGCAATGCGTTAAAAAGTTAACTAGGGGTGTCCAGACTTAATCTTGCTTGGCCATCTCAAATTTTAAAATGGCTGCCATTTTGGTTAAGGGTGGGATATTAACATCCAGTTCACACCACTTAGTTCCTCTTGATAAACCCTTTAAAATGAAGGGTCACTCAATAGGTGATTACATTTGAATGTTTGGGGTTGCCCCCTAAGTACCCCATTTCGGGGGTTGGGGAAAAGTTGTGACTTTGATGAAAAAGTGTAGTTTTTTTATGTTGTAAACATGTGCCGAGTTCTTACTGAAACACGTTAAAATGTTAACTGGGGGAGTCCAGACTTATGCCTAACTCTGATGTATTTAGAACAGTATTCAGACAGAAAATAACCAGATACTTGGAATTATTTAAACAAATTTAAATATTTGAAGATTTATTAAGTTTTTTCATCACAAGATAAGGTAAATTAAATTTACATTGAATCAAAACCAAATTGTCAAATTGTATAACCTCACACACACAAACACTCACATTGAATACAGATGTTTCCCTGGCTGGTAGAGGTGCCTCGCTGCTAGAATCTGGCAAAAAATCAAACATGGCTTCCACCAGTTTGCTGTCATCTACGGGTTCATCTTGTTTCTTGGCCGCATCATTTATTATATTCTTCTTCATTTCCATCCTCCTCCTTTCTTCTATTTCTATTTCATGTTCTTTTCTCTCCAACTCTTCGAGCCTTTCCTACAAGGAGAAATAAAATAAATACAATATGTCTACAAACTAAATATAACAAAATATATATTTAGAAATTAGTTTGAATAAAAAAAACATAACTGTAATAGTCTAAATGTAATTTTGTTTGATTTTTTTTATAAGAGAAAAATGCATAAGTAGTAAAAACTTCTTAAAAAAAGGAAGATAATGAATTCTAATTATTACTTTCATTAATGTGCTAGTAAGCGATTAAATACAATTTATTAACTTAATAGCTTTGATAGTTAGTTAACATAACATGATCATTGCTCTTCAATTGTCCCTGAGGTGTGTACAAAAGTTATAAGAGTAACAAAGAAAAAAAAGGTTAAATTTATTGTACTTGAGGGTTTGTGTAATAAGTTGTAACCAATTCATCTTTAAATGTTGTTAATTCAGGGTTTTTACCCTGTAATTCTTCTCTGCTATTTCCTTGGCTCTCTTGTTGCCTTGTTGACTGAGCTCTCTCTCTTCAATCTTCTTAAGTTTCAAAGCTTCTAGTTGTGTACGGTACTCAAACTGAAAAGATGACAAAGCAGATAACAACCAAATAGTGATCAGATGAAATTATAAAGCTACATGACCTAAAAAGCCTTAAAAATATGTAAAGCCAAAAGTGCTCAAAATTAATTACTTTAAAGAATAAACTCAAACACTTTACACATCACTAATTAAATTAATGTTGATCTACTTATCGAGTTTTCCTCTGGAATAATTATTATTTTTACTGAAACTTTCTAAAAAATGTTAACGTGGATAGGTTTTACTGTGCCAGAGCATTACAACCAGTACGGTATATCATTTGTATAGTAAGCTATTACTATTTTCATTACCCTAGTTTAAATTTTGTATGTTGACATAACAAGACTGTATGGACAAATAAATTGTTGATGTTTTGTAAAGAAAATTGTGACTTTTAAGGAGCTTAAAGACACTTTTTTAAGCTTTCTATACTATTTTTTCAATGAGAGCGAGCCTGCCAAATAAGTCCTGAAAAAACATTTTGTTTGTCCGCCTTAAAAAAATACCCCTTCCTCAAAATATGAGGCAAATGCACAAGCATACCTTGAGTTTGTTAAACTTGCGCTGAGCGATGATTCTCCTGACATGGCTCTGTATCTTGACTATGGCCCACATCTTTTGTTGGTACATCCGCCGCACTAGGTAGCCCCTAGACCTTGCCTGCAGACCTACAATGTGGCCTCGTAGGTGTCTGAACCTGTAAAGAGTGTGTCAATTAGGATTCGAGTGAGATAGAAAACTCCCCCACTCTTCTTCTAATCTGAACATGTATAAAATGAGCTATACCGGAATTTATTTTTAGATATTCTACAAGCTCGCGCCACTCATCCTTCACTCATATTTGGGTTAAAATACGCACCTAGTGGCATCCCCATCTTAAATAATAATTGTTATAATTGATAAATAAATTGTTAAATAATTGATTTAATTCATTGAGTTGATTGATAACTATACAAAATAACAAAAGCGAAGTGGTGGTGGAGGGGACTAATGTGCATTTGGCTTTCCACTATAAATTATTCTATATAAACAACAGAGATCAACACCTCACACAAGAGTGTTAAATTTCCTCGTAAATGGATTCAACTTATCAAGAATGTCCAATTAGTATGTAAATATTATTCTGTTTGGAGATAAGTATTATTCTAGTAAACTGTCCTTACATTCATTATCTGTTCTTAATGAACAACATTTTTATTTTTAACTTTAGAATTTTGACATAGTTGAAGATTACAAAATAAAAGATACAGCTGAATGGAATGAAAAGCGAGAAGTCTGACCAGTTAAGAGAGTTCTTGAACATCAAACTACAAAAGTCATTCTCAACATACAGGTCATGGCAACCGTCAGTATCTACCTACACAGTTTTGTTTCCATAGAAACAGTGTTTTTTATTATTCAATCATTGAAACAAGAAGTTAGGAGGACAGTAAATGTTTTATAATAAATGAAAAAAGAATGAAATATAAAATCAAAGAAGAAAATGAGAAATGTTCTGGGAGTTCAACACAAAGAATAGTTGAACAACGAAGAGGTGACAAAAACAAAATGAGTTTGTTTTGGAAAAATATTGAAGGATCCTTAGGAGGTGAAGTAAACAAAATGGATGGATAAACCACCTGAAGAAGGATAAGAGAACTTCAAGAAACTATCAAGAACAAGGAATAAAGTGAGCTAATTGAAGACAAAAAGAAGCGAAATCCAAAGAACATCAAGAGTTGCAGAAGAAGATGAAACACCATCAGAAGCAGAAGAACAAGACGTAATTTTTACTTCTAATGTAGTAGGCTATAGTTGGTGATCTCTATATAGTAAGTATCTTGTTATGTAATTGTATAAATTTGACCGAGTGATGTCATTTCACATTCGGAAGGTCTGATTATCGGACCAGCCATTCCGAGGTAAGTTTGTATGGTTTCTTACCTCACTTAAGGCAAATGCCGGAATGGTTCCCTCAAGGGCCATACCCCGCCAGGCAGAATAGAATGGACTGTCCTAATTCTGCTTGGTTCATAAAATTCCCAGTAGGTAAAGGAATTTGAAATACAGTTATAAATTTAAATATTACATATTTTTTGTGTTACTATTATTTGAAGAACTACTTAATTCCTCGGGAAACAACATTATCTTCCTATTTATACCTTTGAATCCTTTGGAGTAAACAAATTACAAAAATACTAATTTGATGATATTTTGTATCAAACATATTATCACTGGACTCATTCCCACATAATAGTCAGCATATCAATATGAACGATCTAGCAAAACACCTGCTCTGATGTGCTTTCAGAATCTATCCCTCCTGTCAATTTATATCGGCAAACAATGCACTATTTGATTAAAGATGGTGATAGATAAGTAGCCTAAGGTTTTTAGATCTGTATCACAGTTAAGTTTTCCTACCCTTATTGACACAACCCACAACCCTCTTCCACTTCCAACCAAATATGACCTATCTGACATCTAGCCAACTTTCAGTTACAATTGAATCAGGAGAAAGCAGTTTCCAAACAGAAACAAATACTTAACTTTTTAGAATAACGACGAGTATAATGACAATTACTGAGTCAAATGAATTTACCTGTGGCTGAGCACTCGTGATCTTATCAAAGCCTGTAGTCTCATGTAGCCCACCCTCATCCTCTGATACCTGCGTCGCTGGGCCCAGCCTAGCCAGTACTTCTGGATGACCATCACAGCTGCTCTCATGCGGAGGTATCTAGCAAATTACAGATACTTTACTTACACATATTTCAATCCAATTATAAATTACTGATAGAGTCAGGAGCCGATACATTGAATAGCTTTTCTAGTAGATACTTTGCAGTATGATTCTTTTGTGGGTCATATATTGAATTCTAAACACAAAAACGAAACATTGATCCTGTTAGAGGAATAATAATGAAAGGATTTGGATGGATTGGACTTTGAGGAGGCCAAATGACACCGACGAGCATGAGATTGGAACCTCCAGGGAAGCTGGAGATGAAGGCTTCAAGTGAACTGAAGAGGATCAGGAAGAAGTTATGACCAAGGTAGAGAAACAGAATGTGACACAGAAAAGAGTGCATTAGAGGTCATTTACAGCCCTTAGTTCACTGGGATGAAAGGAAATTAGTCAAGTAATTATCAATTTAACAACCAATAATGGTTGTGATGGGTCAAAACATCAAAAGGTTTACACTTTGTTCTCTTTTCGAAATCTTTTCCTTCAGCCTTCTGTTAGCTTAGACAAACCATTTAAAATACTTGCCCAGTAAATAGGCCAATTTACTAAAAGATTTGTCCAGATGGTAATGTTGTCATCATCATGTCGAGTTAACATTTCTAACACTGAACAACCTTAGTAGGGATTACAAAATTAGCTGTTAGTGTTGAGTTGACACATTTATGAACCACTATTCCCCTTTGTATCCGAGGACTAGCTAATAATCCGTACCTCCTACGGTAGACCCATCCCCGGATACTGCGCTGTAGGATAATGATGTTCCTGGTTAGGACCCGGTCCCTCTCCTGCTCCAGGAAAAGATCGTGAGCATCCTTCAGGAACACCTTGGTGTTACCCAGCTGGTAGTCTGATCTACCCAGAACTTGAGCACAGATCTTGGCTGTGGCCGAGCGACACTCCGTCTGTAAAATATGTGAGATCATTAAAGGTGTTGAACATCTGCAAGTATTGGTGTAAGAAATGTGTAATCATGGGTTCAATGCAATGATATTTGACGAAGACTATAAAACTCAAAAAAATAACAAGCGTTCAATACCAACCTTGGATCCACCGAATCTAAAAAAAAAAATGAATCAAGATTTGATCAGAAGGATTCTAAAATCTCATCTTTATTTTACACTCGATTACAAGAGATAAGCACAATGTTGCTGCTATTCTAGTGTAAACATTTTTGAAAAACAAATTAACATTCAGATTTTAATGTAAAAAATTTGGGTTTGATTATTAATAGTTGAGTTGAACAACTTAAGATTTTAATTTTCTCGTTGGTGGGTACTAGTTCTGACAACAGGGTAATTTCTAGCAACCACTAGACTTTTTTTTAGGTTTAACAAACTATGTAAAAAGTGGCGATACTCCTAATGAGATTGCAAATATGATCTTTGAATGAATTAGGATCCATGATACACATGATACGGCTTAGATAAGTCGAGTCGTTATTATTGAACTAAATGGATTCTAGAATCATAAACATAGACAGCTCTTCATTCCACTTGATTATAAATAGCATTTAGTTGAAACAATGAATATTTACCTTATGAGCAGGAGGAATTCCTGGTATGAGAAACCTGTATCTCTCCACAAATTCCCGAAAAGTGTGACGGATTGGATATCCTGCTCTCCTGATCCGGATGGTCTCCATCATGCCAGAATACCGTAGTTGACGACAACACAGTCCCCGATCAAACATCTGGTAAGGTAATATTGTTGAGAATTTTTTATTATGAAAACAACTAAGTGACAAAGAACAAATTACACTGTTTGATGTAAGGACTAGTTTTCTCAAATAGTTGTTTGTACCTAGATAGTAGCCTTGAAACACATTGGAGTTTGGATGCAACAGAAAATACAAAAGGATTGTTCTGCAGCTTTTAAAATACTCTGACAGGTAATAATTAGTTACGGTATTTATTATTTCAACCATCCAATGGCAAATAAATCATGTAGTTAAAATGTGACAAGTATGTATGTACTTACTTTAAATTAGCACAACAAAATTAAAATTAGACAAACATAATTTCTAACAAGTTTTTAAATAAATGTATAACTTACCATTGGTTTTTTGAACTCATTAGGCTTGATACATCTGATGAAGAAAGGCTGACAGGAACTGAGAGTTTTCATAAGAGCATCGAGTGACTTCTTGAACTGTGTGGAGAGCGTCGGCGCTCGCTTGCGGGTCTCCGAGCCCATACCAATGTCTTCTGCAAACAACAGCTTGAGGAACTTGTTGTTGGACAGAGTAACCAGCTGTAGCAGGTCTGCACTGAATGTATCTCTGTTCTTCTCCAGGAATCCTGAAACAAGGATGAAGTTGTCGTGATTCAGTGAAAAAATGAATAATAATTTGATTTTTTACTTAAATACCCATAGTTTTAAATTAGATTAACACACTTATATAGCTAAAAACAAGAATGAATCTCTCTTGCCAGGTACATTTTGTTCAGGTTGCTATCATTCTGCTCAGTTTTAAAACACATAAAAATATAGTATTGAGACGTACCTTATGTGGGACATTAATTGTTAGGTTTCATCTGGGCTGATTTAAGCCTTCGAAAAAATGAGAACATTTTAATTGGTTTGAATTAGCTTTTGCTAAGTGATCCAAAATCCTTAAATAGGTTATACCTGTTTTGTTAAACTCTATTTGGAATCTTTATCAAATAAAAATAGTTTTTACTTCCTTCATTTAAAAGTTTGTGAGGTTTTTGAAGACAGCGAGTCACACAATGCCACTCATACACAGACACATGATATGTAAAACACTACAAAACATTTTAGGCTAAATTTAGTGTTAACTTATTTCATTAAATCATCAAGTGTCAGTTTCACACTCGTAACTTGTGGTTTTAGAAACTTGTTCATTACTTTTTTGTATCAACTTCTAATGCTTGGCCGACTTTTAAAGTCTGGACAAGGGTCAGTCCAGTCTTGAGATGTATGAACAAATGAGAGCCTACTGAATATATACAAAAATAAAAGTAAAATGCAAAGGATGTTGCAAGCCTGAAAAGAAGACAATTTCTAAATTACAAACTTATGAAGATTACTGATTAAGCCATTTATGAACATTTCAAATACAGTACCTCTTGTATCATAGAAGACAACTCCAGCAAAGTGGTTAAGTCCAAACGATGTGTTGATGTCAGACTTTGGCTTGAGGTAGTTGCGGTGACTGCCGTGCTGCTTGTGCAGTTTGGCCAACATCGTCTGGTCTGTGCCCTGTTGATACCAACAAACACGTTAAGGCAGAAAAAAATATTAAACATCTAAACACAATATAATTTTACTTTACCATACCACCAGCACCGTTATTGGACATAACCTCCGGTATAGTCCTAAATTAAATTGTAGGACAATACTTAGGGATGAATATATTATTGTCATTAATGAATCAAAAAACAGTTATAAACTATTCTCATTGTAAATGTTGTCTCTTGTTTTTACCAAAGAGCATGATTTTTTCGTTGATCTGACTAATAAAGTATATATTCGTATACAGTAGACTCCCTCTTATCCGGACACCTTTTAACCGGACATCGGTTGAACTACACTAGGCGGAAATGACATCTCTTTAACCGGACAATTTTTATCAGCACATTAGTTTAACCGGACTTGATCGACAGGAAGTAGGCGGTACCAAAACAAATGTTCTCGTGGGAAAGATTTGAGACGAGTGATCGCGTGTCTAAATACAATGCTCTCCTAAATTTAAGTCAAATAATTATTAACAATTAAATACAGTATGCATTTAAACGGTCCGTTTTAACAAGTTTTTGGGGACGTTGGTTTAACCGAAAAAAAAAAAAAAAAAACTGTTACCCGGACTGGCTTCAGTCCCGAGGAGTCCGGATAAGAGGGTGTCTACTGTAATAACAAAAATTAATCTACCTGTTTAACTTGATCTTCCTGTTACATAATTCACAACAATTTTTGAAAATCAAGTTAGGTCCGATTTTTGTAAGCTCATTAATATAGATGTTTTCTTGTGTATTTAACATTTAATTGAAAATCAAAATACAAGACTGCGTCAAAGTACGAGACTGATTTGCTTACCTTAGGAAACTTGCTCTCTTCGTCTATCAGAGCCATGATATTGAGCTGCTTGATTGCTATTAGATCCAAGGCATCTTGGTTGTCCACAAACTCTATGTGTTGCCAGTTTATATTCTCCACATTGTACTCTTCTTGCTCCAGCTTGAAAATGTGTTGAACAAAAAACTGCTGCAGATTCTCATTGGCGTAGTTTATGCAGAATTGTTCAAAACTGAAAACAAGTCGCATTTTTAGTAAATAACATTTTTTCTTCTTTCAAGTAATGATGCAAAATATATAATGCGATGAAAAATAGTTAATAGTCATGGTGTAGTCTGGTATACTCTAGCATTGCAAGGTTCTAACTGCAGATAATTACTGGATGAATTAAAAACACTTGGCACTGTTTGCCGGTAAACCAATTTACAGTCTAAATAATTTATCATAGCATTTGTCAGAGTATAACACTATAAAATGGGTTTGGTTGGAGTGTAAACTGTTACATACTTATAACTTTAAATAAATCTTGTTAATTACACAGATCTTACACAAGTTTAAAGACGTTACAAACAATTTCTGTTATTTTGAAGAAGGCTTAACCAAATAATAAAAAAAATACAATGAAAGAGTCAGGTTTTTTACAATATCAAACATAAAACTGGAGAAATGAGTTTTCTAAGGGCTAAGAATGAGACCATGGAAGAACAAGTAAAAAAGTAAAAGAGGGTAGATAAATGATGTGAGGAGGTAAGCGAAGAAGAAGAGAGGAGTGAACTAAGGAGGAATGGAGGAAGATATGGAGGCTTATTACAAATACATAGAAACATTATTTAAATACGTAGAAGATATGAATGTATACATTACAAATCATTTCCTAAGTTTTATTTCCATGTACGATATAAAAAATATCAATAACAAATTACAAAGTATCCTGGATGATTTAATTGGTTAAGATGGTTCCACCCGCCAGCTGTTTACCACGCAAACATGGTCCTACAAAAAAGAACCTCCTGGCATTATTAATGTATCGAATCGAGTTGAAATAAACTGTAAAATATTCACAAAGATGAACTGGCTGAACTGAAACTTTGTAATTATTGTTTCTTTTACTTATAGTCTTTTTCACAAACGATTTTAACTTCTAAACAATTGTTAAACATCATTTTTTCTCCCCCCCACTGCAAGCTCTGATATGTTAAGAGCACAACAAGCACACAATCATTGGAAACAAATTAGTTTAAGAATGTTGAGAGCTTGTACCGTAGAGGCATGTTCAGGAACATTAGCATGTTTAGGGGCCATCTTGAATTGACCAGGTGGAACTCTCTTAAAACAATGATATTTAATTGATTGCTGGTAAAATGGGGTTTGTTCTGAAGGATAAAAAAAATGTCAATAATTAAAATAAATTTTAGAAAGTAACCTGTTTGTTGTGAAGTTTTCAAAGCCAAAGATGTCCAAGACGCCGATTGCACTACGAGAGATGCCTTTAGGTCTGTAGATGGCGTTGTTGATCTTGCTGACAATGTAGACAAACAGTCTGCCGTAGATACCTTTGACAAACGCATCCCTTACGTCCACCGATTGTTCTCTGGATAATGTTGACACCTAGAAGAAGAATATGATTGGTTTGAGGAGAACACTGGAACACTGAACTACGACATGACAAGTCTAGGGCTAGGGTGAAAAGAAGTGTACAATGAATGACATGGAAGCTATTTACTGACACAGGTACAGCTGATTCTTAGTAAAAGTTTAAACGTGATAAGTTTTTATGTGGCCATAAATGTAAAAGACTTAGCTTAATACCCCAAATTTAAAGCTAGAGCTAATTATTTATGGGTAGTGACAAAGAGAACCCATTATTTGTGTGCAATTATCTGAATTATACTAAATGAAAAATATCTTCTATAGTCTAAGCTCGAAACCCTACTACACTGCTTGAATGAAATTTAAAAAATCATCTTTGCCCCAATACACATGTTAATGTCCCACACAGGGTACAAGCTACAGCAATGACCTCTCGGTCGTCAGCCGGGTTGGCACGCCTAAAACTAAGGTAACAATACTACGGTAATTAAGAAACAAAAGTAAAATGTAAACATCAAAAGTAAACATCATAACTTAACCTGAACAATATAAACATGATTTATAATTGAGAAAATTAAAGGAACCACAAGTTTGTATAAGTGAACAAACGTATCAATTGGTCAATTGGTGTTGAGATACATCAATTGGTTTTTGCTAGTGTTATGATAGTAATTTGGAAGGTTAGGTTTGTAAGAAAAGGCCAGCCAACTTCGTAAATTTTTTTTTATGAATTTTTATAATATCGACCTATTTAGCGATGAAGTGAAATGTGGTTTTAACTTTCTCCTATATTGCAAAGTGAACACAACTTATTTCCTGCTGACCAAGGTTTACCATTTAAATGGAGCAACTCTGTTTTTGAATTTATTATCCAAGAAATCAAGCTGGCATTAGCGTTTTTAGTAAGGTAAATTCTATCACCACTATCGCCACCATGTTCATAGCTGACTGTAGTGTATGGACTTGCGTGCCCGCCCGATACACTCTCCTATCCATGAAGTCACTTTGCTTCTCCACCACCATCAAACATCTTTATTTTACGGTAACCGGATCTGCTCTAAAATCTACATTAATCCCAACCCTCTCATCAAGCATCTTGTAGGTAAAATATACAACTTGATCAGTCACTCCACACTGATGATCTGAACTATAAATAGGCTACATTGTACTGTGATTACTTACCACAGTTTCGCCTGAGGCAAAGATGGTTTTCCTGGTAAGTGCGTCAACCAGAGGTTGCTTGGGAACGGACAACAAGTTGGCCACTCTCAACACATTGCTCATGTCTGGGATCTCCGTTGCATCTAAGTTGTCTGTGACAAACAATAGGAGTCTTAGTTTATTAATACAGGGTGGCGCAGATGGATCGGGTGGTTTTAAAATATTTGTCAAACTGCCAATTTTAAAGGTATTGGATTGAAATAAAGTGTAAAACGTGTAGTTACAATGGAAGTTTATTGAAAAAAAAATTAGTTAAGTTTTTAAAAATTATATCCATCAAATGCCTTCCTTCTCGAGCGACGCATTCTTGGAGTCGGACCTAGAGGTTCCGCATTGCTCGCTCAAGCACATCACCAGGAATTGATGTGATTTCGTTGTGAATTGCAGCCTTCAACTCCTGAAGCAAGGGTCTACATGAACAAACCCTGGACCATTCAGGAGTTGAAGGCTGCAATTTACAACGAAATCACATCAATTCCTGGTGATGTTGTAGCGGACCGCTACAATAGCGCAAGTCACGTGACCACGATGCGCGCGCAGTCGACCCAATGTGCTTGAGCAAGAAATGCGGAACCTCGAAGACCGACTCCAAGAATGCGTCGCTCGAGAAGGAAGGCATTTAATTGATATAATTTTTAAAAACTAACTTAACTAATTTTTTGTCAATAAACTTCCATTGTAACTACACGTTTTACACTTTATTTCAATCCAATACCTTTAAAATTGACAGTTTGACAAGTATTTTAAAACCACCCAATCCATCTGCGCCACCCTGTATTACAGAATATACAATGTATAAATTACATGTACATGTATATACACACTAGGTAAAAACAAGTTTGTTAACAACATAAAAATATGAAAAAAATAGAAGAGGCCGTTTTGACTAGACGCATTTGATATCAATAAATATTTTGACATCTGCTTGGCTTGCAAAAGCATGCCAGGCAATTTTTAGTTGCTACCAATACATTATTGCAACTTTCTTACCTTCTTTGATTTAAATAATCCAAAAACAATGCACATAGCACAGCACTCTATGAAAATCATTGACTTGGGGTAAAGGTGGGTTTTCCCTGAACTGTTTTATTACAAAATCTTTTAATACTTCTATATCACGTAAATAATTAGGCTTGTCTGTAAATTAACGTCTCCAATAAGCTATTGTCGCGGCAGAGCAAGGTTATTCAAATCTGAGACCAGCACCTTGTTTTCTACTTTATATACTTGATCCAAGCTGACTCCCAATTCTATGCCACAGTTAGTCTTCGATGGCCAAAAACGTTGAGTAGAAAAATTGTTACATAACGTTCTTGTCAAGTATGAGGATTTCTGTGTGCTATCGGAGATATCGTCAGTTGACAGATATGAAGTATAGCGTTTGGACGTATAAAATTTGTGCATGGAGTGGAAAGAATTCTGAGGTAGTCATTATAATTTTCAAGATAATTATGCTATTATTCATTGTGTAGGACAGCTGAGTTTGTTCAACTCACTTGTTTGAGATAGTGACCAGAGCTAGAAGGATATAGCTTGTGAATCATAGCGTGACTGCAAACAAGATTTCCAAACTGATAGGGGAGGAGATAGGTGTCTCTTGGAGACTATCGGTGGACTACTGTATACCCTGGTAGCTTCAGACACCATGATCGGTAAGCAAAGTTTCCTCAACTTTAATCACTATCACAACTTAGGTCACATTTTCAACTGGCAATTTATATCAATACGGATTGACTCCCTTCCGACAGAAGGCTAGGAAGTGATTCGATATTCTTTGACATTGCTTTTTGGCTGATATGACGACTAATTGTCGACTGGGGCGAAGTCTATATTAGTGGATAAAGTTCTCAGATTCATAGCTTGCTTCAACACGATAGAAGCACGAAGTAGACATAAAATCACAGGATTATTTCAAACGTACGAGTAAAATACTTAGAATACAAAGTGTTTTACATTTCAAACGCACATCTAGGCAGTTGTACACTCTTACCTATGATAGCAGCCTTGTGTTTGATGTTGCCAATGTGTAGCAGGGACGCCAGCAGTTTCAGTATGTCCCAGATCTCCTGGTCCGAGAACAGCAGCACCTTCATGGCAGACCTGATGTCTGCAAACTCTGCTGCATCGTCCCTACCTTCACATGTGATGCTTCCACCCTGAAACATCACAAAGATGTTAGTAACAAGACCAGGTTTGGACCTGACACTGTCAAAACCTTCTGTGCATCCCATTCCGTAATCCTACTGTTTTGTTTTTGTTCAGCTGGATTCGCGGATTCATGTTAGTAAATAATATTTCAATGTTTCAATGTAATGTCTTGTTTTCAATTATTTCAATGTTTTTTGGACGTGTTTTTTGACAGTCAGATTCCAAAATGAAGCAATAGAGTGTTAAAACTAGTCATCTGTAACAGTAAATATGGAGGATGAACAAGACCAATGTATGTAACCCCATTATAGTTCACTAGCGTCACATTTTCCTCGTCCGGGACTGACGAGAACCTTTTCTAAGAAGGAGTTGGGAATTGTGGGAGAGCCCCTCACGTCGATTTAAGAAAAACTTTAAATTTATCTTATAACTTTTTATTTATAAAATTAAATTTTAAATTATAAAATATTTTTCCAATTCTTATTATAAAATTAAACTGTCATAACCTAACCTAACCAAACAAACTTGCTGATAATAAATATAAAAAAGATATAAGATAAAAATGAAATAGTTCTGTTCAAAAAATTAAACTATATGCCTCAAACAAAAGATGTACAGTTAAAAAGTATTCACATTCTAAGCAAAATCTTTGACAAAAAGTCAGTGTCCCAGGCGGGATTCGAACTGGAGACCTCCAAACACCAGTCCGAGACGCTATCAACTTCGCCACAAACACCGATGGAGTCATATTGTAATGGTGTTCCCTCAAGAAAAGATTGACATCACGTCCCCCACTCCTTCTCGGAGAAGACTCTCCCCACACGCAGATCTACAGTCTTTGTGGGGATTTTTTTCCTTTGTACTTTGCTTTACAGCCACGATTGTAATTTTTGTCATTTGTAATTTTGGAAATAAATATATTCTTATTCTTATTCTTATTCTTATTCTTCTCTAAAGAGGTTCTCATCCGTTCGTGATGAGGAAAACGAGGCGCTATAATTATTAGTTCGGCTTCAGGATGTGACAGAAATCAAATGAAAATCTGCTTTTACACTCTAGGAGAAACAAATTACTACAAAGGGTTGTCCTAGTCGTCACTTAAATATTACAAACATTTATGGATCTTCAGTTTTGTGAACAGTTATGAAAAATGAAATAAAAATAATACTGACCCCTGTTAGATACTTGTAGTGTGATGCATCGCCCAGTTCCAGTTTTTGTTTTTCCTCCTTGTTGAGGCCAGCCAGCATACAGTAGAAGACATGGTAGTTCCTCTCATCTTTAGATTGGCTAACAATCCTTGACTTCTCCAGCAAGTATTGTTCAATCTTGGCTCCCTCTATCACTCCGCCAGAGTTGAAGTGGATGTCTATATACTTGCCAAACCTGGACGAGTTGTCATTCCTTATTGTTTTGGCGTTTCCAAAGGCTGGAAAAACACAAGTATTTTTACTCTTCAGAAGTTAAAATTTCCTAAAGAAAAACTAAAAGAGTGAATCAATATGACTTTAGTTATGTGATGGGAAAAATATGGAGATGTGTCAATTGCTTCCAATCATTCAAAGTCGCTAATATTAGACTGGCTGGGTGGCTGAGTGGTTATAGTGCTCGCTTCAAAAGGTTGCTGGATCAATCCTGAGAAAAGTCTTTTGATTGTTCAAAACTGGACCCAGCGACCCAGCTATCCCTGATCATTGTGCATTAAATTAATGATGATGGCTAATGAAACAGCTGATCTTAGTCAGTAACAAACAAAGCTACACATATCATCTCACTCTATTCTACACTCATTCTTCGCTCTAAGTTGAACTACTCGCCTAGGTGGCGTCCCCATCTCAATTGATGATGAAAATAAATTAAACAACATGCGAATAGCGGATATGAAACACCAGAACAAACAATGTACGGTTGAGATAATGATTATGGAATTATTACTTTGAGTGGCTAAATTGCAGCACTTAAATGCGAGGGCTTCTCATGATCTCCATGTTAAGAATATCAGAAATTCAAAACATTTATTCATGAACAAAAAAATGATTAAACAATCTATTGTTCAAACGTTATGGCTAATAATCCGAGGTGAAGGGTTAAAATTAAATTACATTTCTTTTTCTTATATGAATGCAAGGGGTAGTACTGGCTGGTATTCATTAGCATTTGCCTCAAGCTGCTTGAATGCTCGAATCACTGTGGGATACGATAATTTTTTTTTAAGAAAAGAAACAACACATATTTTTTCTATACATTCACAGCTAATACACTAAGAAACATTGCCTGGGAGTAGGTATTTATATTTGGATGCAAAATTGTAACAGTTATAGCTAGCTATTCATTACCTTCCAATATGGGGTTGGCCTCAAGTATCTGCTGCTCTATCCATGAATGTTTGCCACTGATGGCTGCTAAGTATTGCAATATAAGTTTGGTACTCTCAGTCTTACCAGCGCCACTCTCACCACTGAAATATCAAACAAAATACAAATCAGTAATTGTAATTTGATATTGGTACTGATATATGGCAGCTTCTAAAACCATTGATCAAGAATAATAAGGATACTGTTTAGTTTTTCTTGTCCACAATATATTTTAACACGACCAATTCACAGTCCATTAATCATACTTTTAAATGGAAGGTTTTACGGACCCATTGATGTCACAAAGTGTTACTAGGAATAGTTACAGAGAACCGGCAATGAGAATAAAGAGCTTATGATGGTGGTATATGCCTTGTAGTCTTTCACGATAGGACTAGTTTTGCTATGATGATTGACACACATTACGTAACTGTAAACATGTTCAAAGAGAAAAAAAGATGGATGCTGCAAACAAGCGTGAGCAAAGTAAAGAGAATTCAGGGCCAACTGTAGACTGTAATTAAACCCATTGAAAATTGAAACTGTTAACATTCTTTCTGAACATATTGCAGAACTATGCCATCAACAAAGCTAACTAGGCAGTAATAAACATGATGGATAGCCTCTGGATCATTAAAATTAGCAGAATATGGTTTATGTTACCTTGCCTGAATGATCCTATGTAGTTGTCAAACACGACAGCTGTTTCGTGCTACAATGAGCACATCTTCAAAGTGAAGAAACACAAAATCAAATCATTTCGCCCGCGGTTGAGCACGTCAAAAAACACATAAAGTATATGAAGTATTGTATTATGTGTTTTTGTGTGAACTTCATATACTTTATGTGTTTTTTGACGTGCTCAACCGCGGGCGAAATGATTTGATTTTGTGTTTCCTCACTTTGAAGATGTGCTCATTGTAGCACGAAACAGCTGTCGTGTTTGACAACTACATAGGATCATTCAGGCAAGGTAACATAAACCATATTCTAGTAATAAACATCTCTAAAATGTATATAAATCCATGTGATTCTAGGCACCTGATCACAATGCATTGGTCTTGCCGGAACCTCTTCATATGAGTGTAGCTGTTGTCTCCGATGGCAAATATGTGCGGAGGAAGTTCACCAATCTTTCGGTCTTTGTACAGCTTGATCTGCTCTGCTGTGTAGATCGGCAAAATCTGATATGGGTTCACAGCTACCAGTATCGAGCCAGTGTAAGTCTGAAACAAAATGTTGTGGTTAGTCATCAAGGTTAACATTAACATATTAAAGGTCTCTCTGTATCTATTCCAAATAAAAACCACCTCTGAACTACAGAGATACTGAAGTTGCCAATAATGCTCAGCAGATTTGTGAGTATGGTTTACAAATAGTGACCATAAGATTGATGAGTCAGTCATAAACTTTGAAATCATGCTCAATCGTATAACATGTTTTGCGGGCTCCAATGATTTTAGGATGGATAGTAGGCCTTTCCCTGAAACGGCCATTTGAAGTACTGTACAAGTGTACATGGCTTAAGAACACTCTGAACTGCAAGGTAAATTTGGAATGGAGTACTTACATAGATGAGATTCTCGTTGTATCGGATGAGCAGGTTGCGCAGGATACCGGCCTCGTGTAGGTCGCCCAGAGATATCATGTCCTCCACACCCTGCACCGACGTCGCGTGCATCGCCTTGATACGCCTCTCTGGGGTCAGCCATACCTCCTGTACCAAAAACACTTGTCAAGTCCTAGCAGATGAGCAACACTTCAAGAAAATCCATTGTTTGGTGCTATCGACTGATTTAACCCTTTGTGATCCGAAAGAATATTTTTCGGTTCTTTTAAACATTAGGGTAGTTTTACCTTCCAGAGTCATTTGCACAGCAGCTCGGGTAAATTCCACACATTTAGAAAAAACATTAAACTTTTAACTTTGAACCTAGTTGGATGTGAATTTGTAATAAACAGAAAAAAACATTTTGGAACATTTTTAATTGCCATTTTGAAATTCTAGCTGTTGTGATCTATGATTGGTAGACCCTTCACAATAAGGCAAAAAAAATGTAAGAAAAACAATCATAGAATCTATTTTTTCCTTTTTGGTACTGGTTTATAAAACAGATGATTACAATAAATAAAATTAATTAATTAACAATAGCTTCTAAACATTTTGTCTTTCAATAATAAAATAGGACAAATAACTGCCATTATAGAACGAGTCAATTACGTGAATTTAACAAAATTATGAGTTCACATAAAAAAATAGTCTCCAAACCTAAAGGACCAAAGAAAGGCAAGGTAAAACCATTAAATATTCCAATATTAACAATGAATGACAACAACAAGATATTGATGAAGAAACATTTTGGAGATAAAGCTCATGAACTGTTGAATTGTTTCAACGAGACATCTATAGATGAATTTGAAAGAAAGAAAATAGCGAGTGAAAAGTTTATGAAAGAGGTGAAAAATCTAAAAGAGCGAAATAGACAAGCCCTTATATCAAACAAAACATTTCTCCATGAAGATTCCTACAAAGAAAAACTTGAGGAAAGGCAAAATTACATGGAGGAATACTCAAAACTTCAACAACTTAACACTGAAGATACAAATAAGAAGCCTATTTATATCTACAAAAGGACAATGAGAGATTATAAAACACAGCCAACTATTGCATTTTCCGACAGCCCTTCGAGTGACTGGATAGTCCGAAGACATGTCTTAAACAAATTTGTCGAGGCTGGAAGGAGGGTTTTAATTCATAGAAGACTCATTCGACGATTGGAGATTTTGAAAAACTTGACTAAAAAAGATATTGAGTTTTTAAATCAAGAAAATTAAAATATTAAAGTAGACCATTGTTAATCATCTCATGTCCTCTCAATATTATTGAAAAGCCATTACACTTACACTAAGGCCAATCTGTGGATATTGTATTTTTTGACTGTGTCTAATGTCTATGTTTTTGATCTAATGGAAATAAAACTATTTTTAACCCTACCTATAGTCCTGTAAATTGAGTATGAGCCAGATTTACAAAAACTTAAAAAATTATGCTAAAAACTATTTTTCCTAATTCAAGTTAAAGAATACTTAGGCGCACTGTGCAATATGTAAATTCTCATAGCTTAATTTTATGAGGCACATGTTTCAAAGCATGTTTAAAACCAAATTCGGATTTGTTTGAATGGAAACTTCAGATGCAGATAAATGTAATAAGTTACATTATAATGGATCGGAACAGAGTTGATAAGTGAACGCTGTAGGACTAGTTGAATATGTAATGGAGTAGGTGGTAGTGGTACACTCTAAATGTATGAATAGATTAATGTATGCTCCAACATAGTATGTGTGTGAATAGATTATTGATGATGTGTGAGTTCGGTGGAATAATGGTTTATTAATGGTAAAATTTTAGTTGGTTTGGTTTTATAAATGCACTTTGATATTTGATTTTGTAATATGATAATTAATCATATTGTATTAATTCCTAATTAGAGTAAATATGCTTGTATCATTACATTTGGAATTTACTGTTGATAATGTTCTGCAGTATATTTTTGTTACTTTACCTTTCCGTCGTCGTCTTTGACCTGTATGCGACGGCCCTCCGCAGAGATGACTCTTGCTCCGATGGCTACATCGAACTCTCTGCCCGACACTGGTTCTATCCATATGTAGTCCCCCTGCAACCATTGATGGAATATTAGGGGAGAAATAAAATCAACTTGGCATTCCAAGTTGATTATGAAAGTCATCATTATGAAAGTTCGATTAGTCATCATTTTCAATATGTGAGCTATCCTTACTATAGACGTTTTTACATTTAATTTTCACCAAATAACAAAACACAAAAAAAAAACAATTTCTTGAGTTGATGAAAATACTTTAACATAAGTACCCATTTTAGCAAAAAGCCCATTATTTGAAACTGGCAGAATTGCATTGGCACTCCTCGTTGTACCATGCAGGTAGATACAAATTAATGAAGATGTTTGAGTATTGAATACTTTAGGGTCTACTGTTAAAACTAACTATGCATGCACTATTATCCCGATAAGATTAAAATGTGTATTATATAGGCATGTACAAAACGAACAACGTAAATTTTGGCTCAAACCGTATACAAGCTGACGTTGCTTAAGTAAAGATTTTTAATTATTGTTAAACTAAAAAATAATAATATTACTTTTGGTTAAATCAAGTACATATACAACAATTAATTACACAACTTACTTCATACTGACTAAAACCAACCCATGATTGAAAATAAGGTTACCGGTAACAGTTGAAACTAATTTATCAAAAATAAAAAATAAAACAAAAAAAACATTAGCATGCGACAATAAGTTTTTATTATATTATTTTTTTAAATATAGAGTGGAGCCGATGCTAACATCTTAAATTGGCAATATAAATTGCAATAATTGTAGTATAGCAGGCTTATCTCAATGGAAAAGTGTCTATCTGTGCACAAAAACACTAGACAAAACACTGTGTATGTAGAAACAATAAAATTTTACACTGTAAACCAAAATTAGAATAATAGTATTTTCAACGAAAGGAGATTTAAGTTAAGAAGTTAGATGGTTTTAGTTCGATAGTTGAAAATATAATTTTTCCCTTTCCTAGATAAAAATTTTCAACTAAGAAGTGGTGACTTTGGAAGAGAGAAGTCTTTGGTGTAAATGGGATACATTTTAGAGTTTCTTGAGCCACCATGGAATTTTACCCTCTTAGGTAAGCCTGATATATTTTAAACAATCCTTATATTTTACAAGTTGCCCTTACTGGTTGGTTTGATTAAAGTTAGGTGTATAGTGGTGTATAACATGGATTAACTATTGACTTCAACACAGTCTGTAGGAGTCTATTAAAATAGGCAAAGTTTTTTTTCATTATAAATTTGTCTCCTGCTTTACATAGAATGGAATGTCTTTAATCTTTATCCATCCAGTAAGGTCCAATAAGCTTCATGAAGATGGCATGTTGACAGTAAAGATAAGTTTCCATAGAAACCACTAATTTAATTCATTCAGTGACTTCAATGAATGCAAGATGAAATCATCTGTCTCCCAGTGAAAATTATTTTAGAAAAAGTACTGAAACAATAAAGTTTAGTGTCTGCTCCATTTGAAGTGGAGCAGTTCTGGAAGTTGAAACCACAATGAAAACTTGGCAGGATTCCTCCATTATTATCACTGCTTCACCAGAACTTGCAGAGGACTCCTGGGGAAAATGGAAGGTTATAGAACCATACGAAGACCTGAAGTTCTATTGCTTCCCAAAGCAAGAAGGATCCACATAGTTGAAAGGACTGCTCAGTGTAAAGTGCCAAAAGATCGATGGGAAAATGTTTGAGGAACATGATGAAATGTTCAAGATGAATGCAACTTTGGCTGAAGAGATGGAGGAAGAGTTCTGCAGCAACACTGTGAGCAGATTGAAGACAAGTTGGAAAAGTAGGAAAAGGACAATTCAAAGAAGATGTAACAATTAGGATGAGTTTGGACAGACTTGTTAGTATTAAGTATGTTATATATCTAGTATTTAAGTATTTTAAGTAGTTTTAAATAGCATCTTATGTATATAATAATAAAGTATTTCATGTAGGTAATATTACTCTGACCGAGTGAGGAAGCGTCATGTCAAAGCGTGTGCCTTGGCATCATGCTGCCTCACATTCGGGAGGTCTGATTATCAGACCGACCATTCCGAGGAGAGTTTGTACGGTTTCTTTCCTCACTTAGGCAAATGCCGGAATGGTTCCCTCAAGGGCCGTACCCCGCCAGGCAGAATGGAAGACAGGACATGGTCCTAATTTTGCTTGGTTTATAAAACCCCTAATAGATGTGCTTGTTTATTAAATCAATCTAATAAACCTAGTTTTTTCATTACAATTGCTTTTTATTCGTTGTTTATTAAAATATAGTTAGATAAAATAACATGACTTGCCTTTAAGGGATTATAATTAAAATCCAAAACATAAAATAACTAAAAAGAGTTATATTTGGATATTTCATTTTACCCCTAAAGAAATATTCTGTTATTTTAATCTTGAACTCTTTTAGCCCTATGTATGAAGGGTAATTGGGACCAATTTACTAGTTTGATGTCCCCAGAGGCTAAAAACACTATTCATTCAAATTTTTATAAATACCGTGTGTCACGGAATTCTCTGGAACATTTCATATACAATTGTTAGTTAGGTCGAGACAAACACATTTCGCATTGTAAACATTCTCCGGTGACTAGTTAAACAATAAACCTTTGTAGTCTTAAACACGCTGATCGCAGCAAGTGAAGTTTTGCCAGCTTTTATCACTGTCTCAATGGAAACTGATGAATTTACACTACTGACTCTGTTCCTGTTGTAAAAATGTGTATGACCTTCCCCATAGCCTACTAGATAGAGTAAAAGTAAATTTATGAATATTGTGCTAGGATCAGAATTTAACTAGCTTAATCACAACAGGAACCCAGCGAGGATCTTAATTTACAGATAACACTAGTATTTCTCAAACGTGGTAAGTTAGCAAAATTTAGTGCTATTGTTACACATAGCTTATACAAAATTCATGATTAACATGAGAAAATATAATATCGTTGAATAAATCCCTATCCTTAGAGGAAGAAGCAGACATGAACGAAAAAGTGTTTGAAAAAAGAGTGAATTTACTGAAAGACAACTGAATGCGCTTCAAACCAGTGAAGAAGACTTTGACAAATTTGGCACAAAATCGTTGGAAGAGTTCTAAGATTGGATGAGTTTCATATAAAAAGTCAATACTACTACAATAATACTGACCGAGTATGGGGCCATACTATCTCCAGCGATAGCGAGATTTCTTAGAAAGCCCTACATAGCGATTGGTCATCATTCCAAATTTTCCGGCCCCATACAAAATTCACGTACAATTCCCGGTATTCCCTGTTGGCTAGACACTCAGTGATAGAAATGTAAACAAGTCTATATAAATGCGAAGACGGTGTAGTCAGTGGTCGAGTGGTCAGTAGTTATAATCCGTCTGTCGGTTGTAGCGCCGGTCCTCAGCATGCAAGGTCAGTACCCCCGCAATCAATTCATTATCAGCCCAGCAGCAACTGGTTGTAGTAACCGGACCATCCCTCCGTTAGCGAGGTTATAAATACTGAACAGGTGCTGGCGGTGGAGTTTTCAATGTTTTGGAATGTTGCAGCACGCTTTTAAACATTTAAAAAGGTGTAGCTGACGGGTCGCCGGAATTTTACCCCCTGGGCAAAGCTGACATCATTAGACGTAGTAACCTGAGCGGCCAAAAGTTTGTTCGCGGCCGGAATTTTACCCCCGCGGATTTGGAAGTCTAATGAAAATAGTCAGAGCGTGATTAATTAGATTAGCGATGAAAACCGGAATTTTACCCCCTGTCCATATAACTAGCGTTTAGACAACTGAAGATGTACGGGCCGGATTTTTACCCCCGGAATTTTACCCCCAGATTTTTACCCCCGGAATTTTACCCCCGGAATTTCACCCCCCGGCCGATTTTAAAAATTGAATGATTGATTTTCTTATTTCTGTTTTTAATGAATTGTAAACATTTCATTATTTAGTAGCCTATCTTTATTTATTTTGTAATCTCAACTAAGTAAACAGAATTCGCTGTTTTAATTTGATCATATTAACCAACAGTTGGTTTCCAAGATCGTATCCTGATACTCGAATCTCAAAATTAAAATTAAAAAGCTGTTCGATTAGTTAATGTTACAAATAAATTAAGATAGGCTACTTAATAATAAAATGTTTACTATTAAATTAAAACTGAATAAAGATAATTAATCATTCTCACTAATTTATATATCTGGCCAGGGGTTAAAATTCCGGGGGTAAAATTCCGGGGGTAAAAATCCGGGGGGTAAAATTCTGGGGGTAAAAATCCGGGGGTAAAATTCCGGTTGTAAAAATCCGGGCCGTACATTCTAGGTTTTTATAATTTGATGTGTTCTGATTAAATTCACAACCGTGAAAATATATGTTTAATTCCACGTTTAATCCATCGAGCTGATGTCGCGAAACTCAAAAGTTCGCGGCCGGAATTTTACCCCCTGTTTTGTGACGTCACGTGTGCCCAGGGGGTAAAATTCCAGGGGGATAAAAATCCGCTACCCCTAGCTGACCATGCAGATAAAACTGCAGCTTTAGCTGAGGTTTCGCTGATAGTTTTTGGCGACGAAACAATCGAAAGGTATGGAACTACTTTTGTAATAAATGACGCGGTAAATCCATAGAAAAACAGGAGATTGGTGATAGACCACCGACTCTATTTTGTTTTGCTGTAGAGGACGTAAAGCGTAACCTTCTTAGTCTTTCGGGGTAAAAGGCCAGTAACTTTTTTTTCTTCGCCACAATCCTCAGATCGGGGAGTCGTCAAAATTTCTCCTTCTTCATCTTCTTGGCAGCCTTTTCAGCTAGCCCAGTGTAAGTGTGTTCTTGTATGTATTCCTTTGCTGAGTGATATGGTTTGTTTATAAGGTAGTTTTTTAGTGTCTTTACAAATGTGGTATGATTTGAAATATTTTTAATTTTTTTCTGGAAGAAGATTTATGTATTTAGAATCTGTGTATGTTGGGGTGTTGCTGAATTTTTTTAGTCTGTGTTGTGGCAGGTTTATATTGTTTTTGTGTCTGGTGTTGTCTGAGACTGATGATTCAGGGAGTGAAAAATTCCCTCTCTGTTCAGGTGGTTGATCAGAGGAATTGGGCTACATTCCCGGGCGCATACCATCTCTAAATCAGCTTAGAGTTGTTGAGTTTGGTGGAAATAATAACTACAACACAGTACACTAGTACACATTGACAAGAATAGATGAGAACACTGTAAACATATTGATTGACTAATATCTGAGTCTTCAAGAACCTACATATTAAGGTCGTCGCAATTTGAAAATGATTCTAGTAAATATCTAACCAGAGTCTACAAAAGTATGTATGGGTATAGACATTCAGGAATAAATTCACACCTTGTCATCGATGATTCCAACAACTTGATGACGTTAGATTGTTACACGTGACACGATGAATATAATAGACGATAATGCACAAACGAGTATAAATACTTAAGGATAAAAACTCGTTATACGAACAATATAACACATCAATAGGCCTTTTCCCTTATTAAATACGTGAAGCCTATTGACTTGTGTTAATGGTTTTATTAAATGAATATGTAACAAATTAACTACCAGGAAAGGTTTGATGGTGTGACCTTGTAGGAGCAACGACAAGTAATTTTCACTTCAAATATATTTGAGATGAACGATAATAGTTTTGATTAGGAACATTTTGAGAAGTACAATTACGCTGGCTTAAACTCCTTTGTCATAATTTCAAAACGCCCAATAAAAAATTCCAAACGAATTTAACATCCAATTGTTAATAATGATATTATGAATGAAATATACAAAATACATTCAGGTAAGTTATGTAACATATACTCCACAACTAGCCTACATTATCGTATCGTTAATGGTTTAGTTTACAAAGGCTGAAGTACTGTACTGTACCTGCATACGTTACAATCGAATAGTCTAGCACCCAGTCACAATAGGCTACTACCATGACGGATCATTGGTTAACTCGGTCTTATAGGATCACGGATATAGGAAACCCGTCAACGTCGACGTGGTGTTTGGGGCTTGCAACATGCGTCGAGTCTCAGTCAGTGTACGCTCACCCCATGAGAAACTAATTTTAACCTCTCTTTCGCCAAACTGGACAGAATTGGATTTTATAAAGCTGACACACAGGGTTCCTATATAATTTTCAAAAATAATTTCTACTGTATAACTTTTTCTGAAACTTTATAGTCCAGAAACTAGTCTATATCCCGGTTAATAGAGCATTTTCCTCCATTAGGTTTGAAGGTTAAAATTTAATTATGAAACACACACTGAAATGGAAAATGCGAATTGGAATTAAAATCGTGAAATCAGATGTCACAATTTTCCAATGTTGCGTGGTTAGCAACACTCTATTTTTACTTGTAAGTTAGAAAATTATGAAAGACTGGGCGCTGTCTATTGTGTATCCATAAGGGAATGAAGTGGAAAATAAGCTTGTGTGTACGTAGGCCGACCGATAAAGCATTATTGTATATTTAGGCCCTACTAAGAAGGTAAACTGCAAACAAATCATGGGTAGCTGGATGAGATTGTTCAGGGGACCTTTTGACTTAACAGCTCGCTGCAACAATAAGGCATTTTAGGTTTTAGATTACTGCAAACTTTTTGTATAAGTAAATAGGTAGGCTTTTTTGTTGATTTGAGACATAAAGAATTATGTGAGAGTTCTTATACGTTTACAAAATAATGTTCATTGTTTACCATAAGGATAGCGCACGTTTGAAAACAGTGCAGCAGCGAAACTATTGTAAGATAAGCGGGTTTTTAATCATACATGTATGTAGGTGCGCCAAAACAGTGGAGCGGGGACTATGTTTACATTACGAAGTCATAATTTATCGACCGCCACAAAAGAATGTCACGTAGGACCCACTTATTGGACGTTCAGCGACTGGCGCTAGATAACTGCACTCTGCAACTTCCGGACACAACAATGGACATCCGGAAACGCCGCGCCCGCGACCGGAACTAACCTCCTCTCCCCCCACCACCTCCTACGTCACGCGTCACACTAGCGATACGCTAATTGATAATCACGTGACATGTCCGTCGTGGAGCGACTGTCACATGGCTGACAACTTTGCGTTGGACAATGATAACGTGAAGGAAGTAGGGAAAGTATAGGTGAAATTATACTGATTACCGGCAGCGGACTGATAAGTACTTCAATAACAACCTTAATCTGAGGAAATTTAGCAGGACTTTGTTGACGTCAACTCAAGCTAGAACCACAGCTTATGGTTATTTTAGATGAGATTTGCATGTATTGTTCCGGAGATGCAAAAATGTCAGTCTCTTTTTGACCATGGTAAAAATGAAGGAAACATAAATGTGGTGAAATAATTGTAATGACGATGTTAAAACTTGAACATTTAAAGTAATGTATTGAGTAAGAACTAATGCGTTTTGGAACTACGGAATTAAATGGAAAATATTTCTTTTACGTGTAAAAATTGTCAACAAATGTTTGTAATAAGTATAATAAAAGCCGGTCGAGGTGGTCCTGGTAAGTTTACAGTTTTTTTTTTTAACTATAACCGAATAAAACAGTAAAAAAGTCATTTTAGACGGAAGTCGTGCGTGAGAAGAAAAGAATACTAGTATTCTTTGTAGTAAGGCCATGAATTCTACTTCTTTTTTGAACTAGCGTATGTTATATTATATATATTCTTGTTTAAACTCTAGTACTTAATTTCAGCAAAACATTGAGTTGTCCTAAAAGAGTAGGTAATACCATACATTAAACAGTAGCCATATTATAATCATACCGGTAATTTATAGCATTGATTAAAGAGTTGGTGAAATAGTTTTACATAGTTTAAAAAAAATCCCCTATTCAACAATAACCAGGTTAGGGGCAAGCTGTGTAAAACAAGTCTTATTGAACTATTTCCCTAGGGAAATATTGAATTAGAACGTTTGGGTTAATAATATTCAAACTTTCTCATGTAAGGAACATAACTCAGTAGTGGTATATTGTTGCTGTATGTTTATTGTTTATGAATATAATCTTCATCAAACATAGCCACATATTATTATATAATCGAAACAATAATTGCTTAGTATTCTACAAGCACAGTATAAATGCTAAAAGGTATAACTATGTTCACAGCTTTTCTTACAAAAAATATAAATTGAACCAGTTTAAAATACATTCTGCCTAAATATCACAACAATTCCTAACCAAAATAATAAATGTAATATAAATGATAGCTTACCCGTGTCACGATGACCATGATGACCCCTCAGTGGCGGCCTGCAACAAAAACAAAATATTTGAAATAATGCAACAAATACATCAATGGAAGTAAACTAAGTAAAATTATAAACTTTAGTTTAAATCTAGGTGTTACTTGTCTAAGGACACCTTCGGTGTCTTCTACACCAGTCAACTGTAGGGACTAAGTCTCTTTCAGATCCTTAGTGATCAATCCAGGACAGATAAGGATATGGTTCATTGAGACACATGGCGTAACAGTGGTAAGTAGTTGAATTTGACGGCGACATTAAGATTGATGGTGAATTTCACAGGCTTCATGATGAAATAGCAGTCTGTAACGAAAGTGATTGTCTCTTCATCCATGTTGTGTTGTACGACCACAGCTTTAATCTGTGGCACGAAAGATCTTATCAGAAGTATATGCGTAACCTTCACACAGGTAGACCACTTATCAGTGTTGGTTGTATGCGGGACATGAGACATGACATTTATTAGACATGAGGGTTTGTTTCGTAGACTTTACTTGGTTTACTGCCAGTAGTCTTTTTACCTTTTAAGCCTGAAGTTTTGTTTTTACATCCTAAAATGATGCGCTCTGGTGCAAAAAACACTTTAACGAAACACTCCAACGAAATCAAGCGGTACCGGACACAATCATATTTCAACTTGTCTTCAGCCTATGCTTCAGCATAGACTAACCTACACAAGTTTAATGTCTTCAGCTAGATGATAAATCTCAGCAGGATGATAAATGATCGAATCAGTAGATATAAAAGTTTGGTTCAAACCCCTATCAATGGATAATTGGAGAGTGAAACAATAACTTAAGAGAACTATCATAAACTGCCTTTCAGCGACTTTGTAGCCATTGCTGGTCTATGACGATCACATAAGACCAGTCTATGGTGTAGTCAGCATGATATAGATTACCCAGATAACCACTGCGAGAGAAATTTGCTGATTATTATGTCAACGTTGTGCTACCAGTACCGATAAACGCTATCTATGTAAAACAGCTTTGATTCTGAGAAAACATTAGTTCCACAAAAATTAACTCTTCAACCTTCGATACTAAACAAACTAATTAAAGGATTAGTCTAGTATAGTTTTGTGTAGAAGGGATCAAATTGCAATATTAATTATTTATTGAATCGGGAACTCAATGAGACAACTATTTATTGGTTGAGCACGCTTATACGTTCAACTGGTGTGCTTTATTATACTCCGCGCGCGATAACTTTTCACTTGGGACTTGCACAACTTGGCAACGCTGCAGGGCTCGCTACCCCATCCTATACCTGTCACATATCGAGCCAAAGCGACAAGAAGCGGGCGCTCGCCTCGGCGGTGCGACGTTGCCGATACAAAATTCACACGGAACACCAAAAATCCCAAGTGCAAAGTTATCGCGCGCGGACTATAGCTTAGAGAAGACAGACATATCGAGGTTTTGTTTATTTAACCACATTCCACTTCGGTATGATACAATGAGAGGTTTTTCAGTTACAGCATTTCAAAGAACCGCGATTCATCTTGACAGATTACACGCAACGGCGGATAAGATTAAGGAGGTTAAGCACAATTACTGATAAGAGTCATGATTGTAACAATATCACTTCATCATTGTGAAACACGAAAATAAACCTACTCGAGAGTGCCATGGGGATTAGTGCACACTTGAAATATTTTCAGATGAATATAACATCAACACTTTTCTATAGGCCTATATCTAAATCCATTCTGTATATATTTGCAAGTGTTAATGGATGTTGGGAGACTTAAAAAACATTTGTATGATGTGGTTTTTAGGGAGAAGCGGGAAAATGTGTTTAATTACAGATGGCCAGCCTATAGTAGGGACTCCTACGGAGAAAGACCCCAACCTCTACTCTTCAACCACTAGCCTGGGAATACTGGCGACTGCTTCCCAATAATGACCAACTCCGTCTCTAGCTGTTTATCCTCTGGTTTATTCACTACACAAACTAGACTGCAATCCGTTCTAGTTCGTTCGGAGGATGTAAATTTGAAAGTTAACTAATTGGTAAAAATGCCAATCAAGAATTTATTCCCTAAGTCTAGGGATGTGATTCATGCAAGTATGATATCAATCACCTCACTCCGCCCGTTGGTGGACAAATGGACAAAGTCCTAAGTCAGTCTCAGTCTCAGCTCATGACTGGAACCTCATGAAGAAGAAGAAAACTGATTTTTCTGACAACCAATATGAATATTACCTATAGTTAAGAATATCCAAAATGTTTGTCTACGATGCTGGGTACTCTATCCAAGACAGCCTAGTCACATTCAGATCGGTGGAGCCTGAGAAACTCACAGATGAGCGGTCGTTCGCTTGACGAGCTGAATAATTTACGATGATACAGTGACTTGGCTCGTTAAGCGACTTCGTCAAATGACTCGGTATTTGACAAAACTCGCGAGTCGTGACTGGTCGTTCACAGCAGAGCACTTCTTGGATACGATCGCAGGAATCTACGGAAACAAAACGGTAAAAACAGTAGCCGAGTGGTGTCAACTATTTTCCCAAGCATTTGACGTGTTTTACAAAGATCCAGATGAGTCTCCAGACAAATTCTCTGCATTTATCATCATTATGTTGCTATCTGCGTGGTTAAACATTAGGGTACAATAATTTATCTCCGAAAACCATGAATGTCCAGTATGGGATGGGTGAAATAACTATTTCTTTAGTTGTGGTTTAATTCAAAGTATATCTTAGTCAGGATTTTTTAATTAGTAAAGCCTAATAACCAGGAAGAGATGAGGTATACAAGAATAATACAGTAGTCTATCAAGTGTTATGGTATTGCATAATTGAATAAGTTAAATGATAATTAACAAAACAGTAAAATTGAAATTACACAGCAGGTGCTAATTCATTCCAAATTTGGATTTACCTCGCTGTTTATGTATATGAATATTTTATTATTATCTTTTTATTCACTTCCAATATTTTTAGGTTGACGTCTGTTTGGGCCTTAATAGATATTAGAATAACAAACCTCATAACACGAGATTCGAGTAGTTTATGCACTATTATCTAATATAAATACCAGCCTCCTTAGACCCTGTACCGATTCATGTGTGAAACTTTGGATTATTTTTTTAGTTGCCCATTAGTAATCAAAGTAAAACCATACATAGCTTTCAACATTTAGTCTGAACAAAATTTTCACAAGCTTAAAAGAGTAGAACTTTCAAACGTTAGGAGATGGCGAACTTTGTCAGAAGATTAGAGCGGTTAAAAATAGTTACATCTTGCTTTCCGTTCACCTAGTATATTCCAAAATCAACTACTCTCACTTTAGAATTAAAGATCCAAACTGGACTCGGTAGTTTCTCTTCTATTTTGGGCACCTCAATGTGGTGTTTACGCTAATAATCGAGTGACGTAACTACAGGAGGTTCCCAAATCCATGGTACTTCGCACTACCACTAGCAGGGCCCGCGCTGTGCGGTATGATTGTACAGCAGAGAAGATGCGAGAATGCTGATTGAGGCCAGGGAAGAAATGGACTTTCGCTGCAAATATTCCCTTCCAGCCACGACCGACCGACCGCTTAGTGGACCTCTACGAAATTCACCTTCCATTTTGGTTGAAATCTCTTTTGATGTAATTAGAACTTGCTTGATGTATTGGGTTGAGGCTATTGAAGAGTGCCATTACGGTCTTTTAGAAGAAGAACAACAAAGGTTTATGTTGCCTGTGTTGCTGTTGGAATGCTCTGACGTACTTTAAATAAACTACAACAGTTATTTCGTGTTGCAGAAAATGGAGCACCTCTTTAGGTCTAAATCTGTCTGGAAAATTGGCCTGGAGATTTGCTCTATTTTCCAAATCACGAACGATTTTTTTTAAATTTACACTACAACGGATACACGTAACATTATTGTTTGTGTGTTAATTCAAACGATCCATAGGCTAATCCACCACGGAAAAAATCATCATCAATGATTCACACAAATTCTTAGGTCCAATCTGGTTGAATTTTAACTCTCAATATTTGGGTTGTGTTGGTCATTCCTATAGTTCTACTTCATTCCTATTGTTTTTAATCCGAGTTTTTATTCAAATCATGTTCTTGTTATCCAATGGTAACTTTTGTTGGATAACATGTTTCATAGCCAAATGACAATTGGCATAATTTTATTGGGTAATATACTACTCTTTCATATCAACCATAGAGTTATGCTTCTGTCATACTATTGTACAGGGCGATTCAATCTTTAGTAACAAAAATAAGTTAAAATGTAACCATAGAACAATTGCAAATAGGAAAGACAACTATTGTTACTTGTTGTACGAAATACGGTATGCAAATGCGCGTAAATAAGAAGGTCTGATTCTTTCAGGGAGAGTAGGGATAAACCTACACGGCCATACTTCAGTTACCTCTAGTTAGAGAGGTAACTTGCACAACTGAGGTGCAGCAGCGTGAGAGAATGTGCTGAGGTAAGACTGATCTTATCTATGCATCCTAGCCTGTTCACATCTAAGTAGGTTTTCGAGTTCTTTTAGAGTTAGTTGTATTGTTAAATACAATCAATTTTATGAATGGGATAAAAAGATATACCAGTACTGTGTAATCATTGAAACTTCTATAATTCTGAATTATCGGAAACTTTACACAGTTGCAATTCTAAAATGTCATGGCTACTCGAGTGGTTTCACTGCTTCCTTTCGAATCTAAAGTCTGGATATAGATATTATTTGACATTCTGTTATTAATTATCAAAATAGTACTAAACAAATGGTCGTAGTTGGATGCCATTATTACCATTATCAATTGAGATGGGGGACGCCACGTGTGTGTGTATTTCAACCAAAGAAGAATGAGTTCAGAAACTGAGATGAACGAGAGAGATAATCTGCACAGCCTTGTTACTGACTAATACCAGCTGTTTCATTAGTCAGTATCATTCATTATAACTCCAATGACAAGGAATGCTGGGTCCAGTTTCGAACTTTTTTACCACACTAAGATGTTTTTAGCCGTTTCACAAACGTTTATTGG